CAGGAACTGCAGCACGCCAGGTTTCTCTGCCCTTCACCAGCTCCGGGAGTTTGCTCAAACTCACGTCTGTGGAGTCGGTGATGCTAACTAAGCCCCTTCGTGGAATACAGCCTTGTCATGGCGAAGGGGTTTACATAACTCAATGAAGCTACGGGCCATGCCATGCAGGGCCACCTAAGACAGACGGGTCATAGTAGAGAGTTTTGACAAATCGTGGTCCACTGGAGGAGGGAACGGCAAACCACTCCAGTATTCTTGCCCCGAGAACCCCATGAACATGAAAAGTATGAAAGGAGGTGGCTAGAATCTCCTTACTGTCCACATGGCAAAACCATAAACGTAGCAAGAACTGTCATTTCAGGAGAGGTCAAGGCAAAGCTGGAATGAGATCCTCGAGCTGGAGGCTGTGCCACTGACACAGGCTGCCCCCACGTCCACCTGGGCCCGAGCTGGTCACAGCGCCGGGAGGGGGGCCGACAGCAGCTGTTCAGCTACAATTTCAGAGCCTGAAAGGGAGCTGTGGCCCCAACCCCTGCCAGCAACAGGTCACGGGGGGCAAAGACAGGCCGGCCACCGGGCCCAACCTCGGCGGCAGGAAGGCCACACGTCCCCCGCTGCCACGCTCTGTGACAGTCACCCGCACAAGACCGGGACGCAAGTCCAAGCCGGCTGTGCTCTGCATCCCGAGAGACCTGGAAAGACAGGGACGCTTCTCACCTGACTAAGTGACCTGCAGACCCAGGAGGAGAAAGGAGGGTGCATTTTAAAGACCTCTTGAGGGACTCCCTAGCAGTCCAGTGGTTAAAATCCCGAGCTGCCACTGCAGGGAACACGGGTTTGATCCCTGGTCAGGGAACTAAGATCCCACAGGTCACCATTGTGGCAAAATAGGGGAAAAAAAAAAAAAAAAGACCGCTTGAAGGCCCTGCCCGCTTCCAGAGGTCATTCTCAGGTTCCGCGGTTCCTAAGGGAGTGTTTCTGCCCAAACAAGCTTATCTGAGCCACAAGATGGGAGACATCCCCAGGCGGACTGCTCCAGACTCCACACCTGTTAGACCAAGGTGGCCCATAGTCTGGGCATTGGCACCCACAGAGCAGGAGAAAGAAGGCATCAGAATGGTCCAGAGTGGAGCTCTAGTCCCAGCTCTGCCACTCACCAGCTGTGTGACCTTAAACAAGCTATGGTCCCACCAGGGCCTTAGTTTCTCATCTTTATATTTATTATTTTTAAAATTTTTATTTAAATATAGTTGATTTACAACATGATTTGCAATGCTGTGCTAGTTTCAGGTGTATAGCAAAATGATTCAAATATATTTATCAAATATACATATATGTTTTAGATTCTTTTCCATTATAATTTATTACAAGATACTGAGTAGCATTCCCTTTGCTACAGTAGGTACTTGCTTATCTATTTTATACATAGTAGTGTGTATCTGCTAATCTCAAACTCCTAATTTATCCCTCCCCCACTCATTTCCCCTTTGGTGACCATAAGTTTGCTTTCTATGTCTGTGAATCTATTTCTGTTTTGTAAATAAGTTCTTTTCTACCATTTTTTTAGATTCCATGTGTAAGTGGTATCATACAGTATTTGTCTTTGTCTGACCTACTTCACTCAGTATAAAATGTCTAGGTTCATCCACGTTGCTGCAAATGGCATTATTTCATACTTTATACTTTTTATGGCTGAGTAATATTCCATTGTGTATATATACCACATCTTCCTTATCCATTGATCCATCGATGGACATTTAAGTTGCTTCCATGTCTTGGCTATTGTAAATAGTGCTGCTATGAACATAGGGGTACATGTATCTTTTCTGATGATAGTTTTCTCCGGATATATGCCCAGGAGTGAGATAGCTGGATCATATAATAGCTCTAGTTTTAGTTTTTTTAAGGAATCTCTGTACTCTTCTCCATAGTGAGTGCTTCCCATTTTTAAAATGAGGGGGTTCGGTGCTGACAGTAGAATTCTTTCATGTTTAGCAAGTTCACCCTGGGTCAAGGCAAAACTGGAATCTGAACTTAGGAGCTGGAGACTCTGTGCTCTTCCGTGACAAAGCCCAAACCCCGTCTCCACCTGGGCCACTAGCCACTACCCAGGTTCCTAAGCTCAAGATAGGAAACCTATAGGGTTCAGCGTACGTTAACACTAGATCCATTTTGCTAAATAAACATGAATGACCAGGCACGGTTTAGCAAAGGTGTTCAAGAAGTTTCCTGGATAAAGGGGTTCTATGTTGAAACAGGCTTAGGAAACACTGGCTGCTCCTGCACTGTCCAAGTTGCTTTGCAAACACTCAATTTTCACCACAAAAACTTCTTGGATAGATGTTAATTACCCCTCCCACATTACTCATCAGGAAACTGAGCCAGAAGCCTTAAAGGTAGTAACTGTCAGGATTTATACCCTGCTATGTCTGACCCCAAACCTGAGCCCTTTCTTCTGTACCTATAGACCAGACACCCTCGAAGCCCCACCCACACACCTGGCCTGAGCAGATGAAGGAGGAGGTGGCTCCCAGCAGAACATCTACATCTTCAGGGTGGATGGAGGACCAGTGGGAGTCCCCAACCCTGAGGGCATCTCGGCCCTTCCTTGCAAGAAGCCCTGAACGTTATGCCCACAGCATCTTGCCATGGGATGAAGAGATAACTCAAGGATCAGTCTGTGGCCCCCACCCTCCTCACATGCTGTCAGTCTCAAACTTCTGCCCATCTCCTGGGCACTGGGGCTCTCGCCCACCCAGTTCCCCCCTCTGAAATGTTTCCAGTGGTAAAACTCCAAAGGGAGAGAAAACAGAAAGCAAAGCAGAAAGGAAGAGATGGGGAAAGAGAGCTATCCAGAAGGGTCTCCCCACAGGTCAACCTGGTGAATCAGAGGCAGCCTTCCCTCCTAGGCTGGCAGGAAAACATCCTCACGACATCCAAGCACCTGGTGGTCCAGTCAGTCATCAAGAATGGGGGTCTTTCCAGTTGACTACCAGGCGGCTCCAAGGAGAGCTGGACCAGTAGTTCAATTTTCCCCTGTCCTTGGGGCCAACTTTAAAAGCACTGTCTAGACAAATACTATATGATATCACTCACATGTGGAACCTAAAAAATACAACAAACTAGTGAATATAACATAGGACTCACACATATAGAGAGCCAACTATATAGTGGTTACCCGTGGGGGAGTGGTGGGTGGAAGGAGCAAGCTAGGGATGGGGGAAGGGCAGGTACAAACTACTGAGTGTCAGACAGGTACAAACTCAAGGATGTACTGTACAACATGGGGAGTATATCCAGTATTTTGTTGTAACTGCAAATGGAAAGTAAATTTTACAAATTGTATTTTTTTTAAATTTTTAATTAAAAAAATAAAAGCACTACCTACACAAATCTCAAGATGCAAAATGAGCTCTTTCTGGGGGGAGGGTGTCCAACCCCTCCAACAAACATGCCCAAGTCTCACTATCAACAGCCCACCCCATCACCAAAAGGCAAGAATCTCAGCTTCACTAAACTTTCTACCAATGTGTTCCCTAACCTCTTCCAGGCAAGAACAAAACCGACCTCCCCAAAAGACAGCTGCCTGCGAAAGGCAGGTGTGCACAGCTTCCCTCCAGCTCCGCGGGGTCCAGGGGGAATGAAGACTTGGGGGCCACACAGCCCCACAGCCACCACTGGAGACTCGGTGTCCGCCCCGCTCCTGCAGGCAGGGAGGACCGTCCGGCCAAGGAACAACATCCTCAGGGGGAAACACACACTGAGAGACGTGGCATCTCGCTAGTCCTCCAAGACACTAAGCTTACAGACAAACAGCACTTTTCTGCGGTGGAAAGGCACTCCCGTTCAACACAAACAAACATGCCTCGTGGAAGGTAGGTGAGTCATCGGTGAGCAGGTATCACCCTCAGACACCCGGAGCTAAGGAGGCGGCACAGTCACACGCCACGTGAACTCATCACTGACCTGCCAGGTCTGGCCCCGAACCTCCTCTCCCCTCGACCCAAAAGTGCACGGAGGCGCGAGTCCCGGGTCTCCTCGCCTTTCAGGGAAACGTTCGCTTGGGGCTGTGGAGCTCTGCTCCCCAGACTCACTGGCCCCCAGCATGGAACGCACCACGCTTCTCAAGCCCTGGGAAATAGGGACCTTTGGCGGAGGTCCTCTCCGGTCTCGCAAAGCCTCGGCACTTGAAATCGCCAGGACACCCTTTCCAAGCCCGAGAGGCGCCCAGCAGAAGAGAGGCGCGGGCGCTGGGTCTCTTTTCGGCCGCCGGCGACCTGGGCTCGGCCTCCAGCCTTTTCGGCTCCGCGCGCTGCCCTTACCCCTGGCCCTGGCGCCCACCCCAGCCTCCCGGTTCGCGCGCCTCCACGTGCCCGGCTCGCTCCCAAGTCAGATCCCGGGTGAGAGCTCCTCCCGCGCCGCCGTCTTACCGGTCCCAGGGTGCGGGGAGGTGGGCGGGTACGCGGAGCCAGCCCCGCGGAGTCCGCCGCGGCACCGCTCTTCCAGCCGCGGCTCCGCTGAGGTCCGGCGAGGCGGGCGAGGGCGCTGCAGAGACAACGCGGGGTCAGCGAGCGGAGACCCGGGCTCCAGCCCCGGGCCGACCGGCTGGGCGGGGATGAAGGCTGATCGCGGGACAGAGCCGACTCCGCGCGGGCCCAAACCCAGCTCGCCCCGCCCGGCGCGCGGTACTCGGTGCGCGGTGTCCGGTGCGCGGTGTCCAGCGCGCGGTGGCCGGTGCGCGGAGCGGGGCGGAGCAGAGGGAGGAGTTTTCCCAGAAGGGGACTGACGGGAAAGCACAGGCGATCCCTATTCCTGGCGGGGTGAGTCAACGGGAGAGGAAGGGAGCTGGGGGAACAGAGCGCGCGCGGGAGGGCGGAAGGGAGGGAAGCGGGAGAGCGGAGACGGGAGAGGAGGACGGCGGGCCCGGCGCGCAGGTCCCAGGCGGAGAGGGAAAGAGCGCCCGCGGCGCGGCCGAGGGGCGCGGCGGCCGGGCCACTCACCTGGGGGACGCGGCCGCGCGGCAGAGCCGGGAGCTGCGGGCTCTACCCGCCCCCGGCCTGGGGTTTGAAAGGAGGAAGCCTGGAATGCGTGGAATGAGGGCTGGAATGAGATGCGCGCGTTCGAGGGCGGGAGCTGGAGGGAGTGGCGGCCCGGCCCCGGGCCCTCGGGGAGGAGACTGGGACACGGGGAGGGGCCGCGGGCTGGGCGGGCCGGGGGCGGCCGCGGGGACCCTCGGCTGTGACCTCGGCATCCGGCTCCGGTCGGGGCCATCGCCTGGCACACGTGCTTCCCCTTTGATCTCGGCCCCGACTCTCCTCCTCCTCCCCGTGCCCGGGTTCCTGCCCCTCCCGGCCAGTCCCCAGCTCTCAGCCGAGGCCGGAACCCTTCCTCCCGACCCTGCGGGCCGGGCTCTGGCCTGGCGCCCGGCCTCCTGCTCGCCTCTCCCTCTGCGCCGGCCCCGAAAGGCCGGGCAAGGGCGGGCGTCCAGCGCGCGGGCAGCTGCGCCCTTCCCTGCGGCGCCCATCCACCTGGGGCCCCTGTCCGGGCCGCAGGACGCAGGAGCTCCGCGCGCCCACAGGTGCCCTCCCCGCAGGGTCTTTCGGCCGCTCCCCTCCGCCCTGCACCAGCCTGCATCGCGGGGAAGGGTTGCCGGTGTGACGGCGTGTGGCGTGGCCAGAGACGCTTCTAACCCTGACCCCACGTCTGTCACTAGCCCACCGGACACTGTGGAACAGCGAAGGATAAGACCTCAGCACATGCCCTCTCAGAGCTTATCATTGAGCTGGGAAGACTCGGTCTATGGTGGAGCATCGCCAGAAAGTGGGGAGTCTGCGTCTTAAATACGCCAGGGTGGGTTTAGCGATTGGGTTTTTTTTGTTTGTTTTTTGGTGTTTTGATATTTTGTTTTGTTTTAAGTCTTCAGAAGACACTGGGTTGACACAGGGTGCAATCACAGACCTCAGTCACCCTTCTTGCTGGGAGGTTGAAACCAAAGGACTTTTGTCTTTTTCCAAAACTCAGGTCCAACCTCCCTGGAGCCCTATCGCTTAACCCTGTGCTGTAGTGGGTGTCCAGATCTTACCTCCCTTACCAAACAGAAACTGCTTTAGAGACAGACTAAATGTCTGATTTATCTTATCTTTCACTCAGCTCCAGCTTGGTGCCTGGGATAGATAAGTGCATAATAAATATTAAGTTTAAAATGAAAAAACAGAAACCTATTGCCACAGAGGACCTTGAAAAGAAAGTGCTACAAATGCTGAAGTTACTGCCAAAAGAGGTGTTCCAGTGGTGTGTTTTTTAATGATTTTATTTCTTTAATTTTGGCTGTGCTGGGTCCACTGCCCGGGATTTTCTCTACTACCTGTGAGCAGGGGCTCCTCTCTGGTTGCAGTGCAGGCTTCTCATTGCAGTGGCTTCCCTTGTTGCGGAGCACGGGCTCTGGGGCTCAGGAGTTGTGGGGTGTGGGCTCTAGAGCACAGGCTCAGTAGTTGTGGCACATGGGCCTTGGTTGCTCCGCGGCATGTGAGATTTTCCTAGATCAGGGATGGAACCCCTGTCTCCTGAATTGATAGGCAAACTCTTTACCACTGAACCACAGGGAAGCCCCCAGTGGTGTTTTGAGCATCACAGCGTCACTGACAAAGTATCTTGAGGTGGAGACTTTGAAGGAAGCAGGTCTCATTTGCGTATAAATTCTAGTCTGTTTGTTAAATAATGCAACACGTCAGGGCTTGGTCACAGCTTGTCCACATGGGATATGTCTACAGCTCAGGACAACAGGCAGGCACTCAGTGAGGCATAAATGGTAAGCACTGGCTACTTAGTGTAATAACTATTTGTTATTACAAATATAATAACATTTGAGCTGTGAGCTTTGAGCCCCATAGAGGAACCCAGGGGAAGGCTCAGAAAATCCAAGTTATAGAGGTGACTTGTGACCTAGATCTTGAAGGATAAATGAGAACTTGCTGAATTGAGTCTAGAAGACTCAGGGAGGCTGGTGATCTGTACTTTGGTGCGGGGGTGGGGGGGGTGCGGGGGGGACGGTGTGGGGAGAAGGGAAGAGGTTAGGAAAAGTCTGGTAAACAGGAGTAGCTGCAGAACAGAAGGCAGAAAGGATGGATTGCAACAGCAGTGCCAGCTGTGTTGTTTGGTATTGTTTCCATTCCTTTAATTTTTTTTAATTTAAATTTTTAAATATTTTTAAATTTTTTAAAGCTTTTTAACCCATATTATGCGTGCTCAGTTGTTTTGGTTGTGTCTGACTCTTTGCAATCCTATGGACTGATGCCCATCAGGCTCCTCCGTCCAAGGGATTCTCTAGGCAAGAATACTGGAGTGCATTGCTATACCCTCCTCCAGGGGATCTTCCCAACCCAGGGATCGAAACTCCTGGGTTTCCCGAATTGCAGGCAGATTCTTTACAGCTGAGCCACTGTGTTAATAAATTTTTTCCAACCCATATTATGGTCATAGTTAAATTATCCATATGATACTGTGTTAAACAAACTCAGCCACGCCCATGTGATAGTATTCTTTAAATAAGATTTTTTAAAATAAACCAAACGTTCTTGATATAATAAGTGGAAAAGTGGATTTTAAAAAAATAGTGTATATAGGATGATCCTGGGTTTTTTTAATTTTTTACTTTATATTGGAGTATAGATGATTTACAGTGTTATGTCCTGTTTTTGAAAAATAAATTGAACGGTATTTTCAAGTGATTATCTCTGACAGGTTGAGTATTAAGGGGCCTTCTTTGTCATTTTTGTTATTATTTATAACAAACATACTTCTTTTATAATGGAGGGGTAGTGGGTGAGATGTGACTGGAACTATATGTCCAAGTGAAAAAAAGTGAATGGGAAAGTCACTCCATCTTGTCCCGACTCTTTGCAACCCCGTGAACTGTATGTAGCCTACCAGGCTTCTCTGTCCATGGGATTCTCCAGACAGGAATACTGGAGTGGGCTGCCATTTCCTTCTCCAGCGGATCTTCCTGACCCAGGGATCGAACCTGGGTCTCTTTTATTGGGAGTGTGGAGTCTTAGCCACTTTTTCATGTCTAACTCTGCCCTAATTTTTCCATATATTAAAAAAAAAAGGCTGGATTTAATAGCCTAATATGAAGCTGACTAGGGCAGAATCAAGAGATTATTGCCTAGTCTTTAGGTCAGAGAACAATGCACTACTTGAGAGATGCCCCTAAAGCATGCCCCCTCACCCTCGGCTTAAAAGTAGGATGCTGCTGACTTGGTGCTGGGGAGTGAGCACTGTGACTCTGGGTCCTTTGCTTTTTTTAAAGTGTTTAGTTATTCGTCTGCACCCAGTGTTAGGTGCAGCACATGGATCTTTAGTTGTGGTGTATAGGATCTAGTTCTCTGACCAGGGTTCGAACCCGGGCCCCCTGCATTGGGAGCAGAGAGTCTTAGCCACTGGACCCCCAGGGCAGTCCCCACCCACTATCCTGTATTTCCTTTTGGTTTTTTTCCTTAAGGAGACTTCACTCCATACCATCTCAACTGCATTGTGTGTGGAAGGACAAAACAGTCTGACTTTTATCAAAGCTGGAGGCTTTCTTTTCCACTATAGAATAAAAGCAGTCTGTAATTTGAAAAGCATAGTATTAGTCCTGTTATCTCTTCATCAAAGAGAAATGTGGACAAGCTAGGCTCCAGAGCTACCATGGAGGAGACAGTATGTGCCAGGGGCTGACGTGTGCTTCCCCCCCACCCCCGCCCCAACCCCCAATCCATCTGTTGAAGTCTTAATCCTCAGTACATCAGAATGGGATTGGATATGAAGACATCTTTAAAGAGGTGATTAGGTCTTTAGGTTGGCCTAATCCAACTTGCCTGGATCAGGGCCCTTCCTAATCTTCCTTGTAAGAAGAGATTAGGATGAAGACTTCTCACAGAGGAAGGACCACGTGAGGACACGGAGAGAGGATCCATCTCTAAACCAAGGAGAGGGGCCTCTGGAGAAACCAAGCCTGCCTACACCTTGACCTTGAACTTGCATCCTCCACAACTGTGAGGGATAAATTTCTGTGTAAGCCACCCCATCTGTGGTACGTTGTTACGGCAGCCCATGCAAACAAATGCGGTATCCAGACTGAAAATAGATGCTTAGTTTCTGGAGCCCAGAGGTGAAGCTTTCTCCACACAGTTCTTCAGAAGTTTCTCTGAGGGTCCCAGAGCATCGTTAGGATCCAATATTCAGGAGCTTCCTGGAAAAAAGCTCAAAAGGAAGGAAAGGCTTCCTCCAGCCTTACTGTTAAGAGTTTCATTTTCAGTGACTCTGATATTTTGAAAATGAAAGGCAACAGAAGTCACATATTATGTGGTTACTGGGGAGTTTGAACAATAACAGTTCCGCCAAGACTAATTATGACCCTGGGGACACTTAGGAGTCTGAGCCTGAGTCTCCTGTCACTCGGGTTTCCATCCCACAATGACTGAGCGTGGATGAGGTCCTTGGCACTGCACCAGGTGGGCACTAGTGATGAACAGATGCCACAGCCCTGCCCTGCAAGCTGCTGACATCCTCCTGGGGAGCTGGACAAGCACCGCTTCCACGGGGAGGACACCTGGTGAGAAGAGGTTTCATTTTCAGAACCTGAGGTTGAAATTTCTGTGAACCCACATTCTCCAACAGAACATTCGAGAATGATGAAGTGTTCTTTATCCACACTATCCAGTACTGTAGGCACGAGCCACGTTTGGCTCCTGAGCCCTTGAAATGTAACTAGTTGACTAAATTTTAATTTGAATAGTTCCATGGGACTAGCAGTGACAGAAAGCACAGCTGGGGACCACCCAAAAGGAGATGCTCACCCGGCAGGTAGATGACACCTGCAGAGCAAAGGCGAGCACTCAGGACTGTGGAGATGCCAAGCGTAGTAATGCCAGGGGAGTTAGTGAGTTACTTATTACAGTAAATACCAGGTCCCTGCAATACTGTATATGCTCAAAACATGCTGATACAACTTCTCAATGCTCAAATTGTACATGCATGGGAAAATAGTTAAAAGCCTTATGGTACTTCCCTGAGTGAATGAAATACTGTAGCGTATAAACAGGTACATGCACATATCAGAGACACTGCAGGCTCAGTCCCAGACCACTGCAATGAGGCAGATATCAAAATAAAGTGAGCCACACAAATATGGAGCTTTCTCAGTACATACGGAAAAAGTTATGTTTATACTATACAGTAGCCTGGTAACTACGCTGTGCAACAGCATGATGTCTAAAAAGCAATGCTCATACTTTGATTTTAAATATTTTATTGTTAAATGATAATTGGCATCTGACAACACAAGGTTGCCACAAACCTTCAATTTGTGTGAAAAAACAAAAACACAAAAACAGTGTCAAAAAAAAATGAAACTGTGTCAACAAAGCATAATAAAGCAGTAAGATGAGTTATGCCTCTATGAGGAAGGACTGTATTTATTGATATGGAAACATCTCTAGGATAATTAAATGAAAAAAAAACAAGCTACTGAACCAAGCCCTGATCATGGGAAAGATTGAAGGCAGGAGGAGAAGGGGACAGAGGATGAGATGGTTGGATGGCATCACTGGCTCAATGAACAAGTTTGAGCAAGCTCCAGGAGTTGGTGATGGACAGGGAAGCCTGACATGCTGTAGTCCATGGTGTTGCTAAGAATCAGACATGACTGAACTACTGAACTGAACTAAACTGAACCAAGTATGTAACATGCTACCTTTTGTGCACAAAGACTGGGAGATTACAAATACATTTTTATTTTTGCATGAAGATACACTGGAAACTAAAATTGGTCAACTGTGAGAGTATGACCGAGCAAGAGAAACAGAAGAAGGGGACAGGTACAAGAGGAGGCTTTAATTGTATAAACACTTTTTGAACCACATGAAATCATTACTATTTAAAATTTGTATCCATATGTGACACAGGATAACATTAGACTGACCAAAGGCAAAATCAGGACGTATTTCTAAGGGCATCCTTCAATCTTACCCTGATTGAGTCCACACTGGGCATGCATCAGCACCCTAGAAATTCCATCTAGACCCACTCTTCAAAGCTTGATCTAAGTCCCAGACCCCTCTGCCTGTCACCCTTCTTTCCTCTCAGACCATCCTTCCTTCCTGACTTTCCTGCCCCCAGACTACGGAAGAAAGGGAACTACTGATTATTCTTGGAGTCCCTGAAAATCACAAGGGACAGAATCTAGGTGGATAGTACTTACCCAGATGTTAAAACCCCAAGGTTTGAGAACCACTAGATTATACCACCATGTGTAATAAACAGTTGGAACAGACCAGGAAAGTCCCACTTCCTCCCTGGCCCCCACCACCTCTGTCCTCCGCGTGGCTCACCCTTCTTGCACCCGGGCTCCTGGGTCTCAGCTTGGCCCCATGCATGGGAGAGTGGGCCTGATAGACAGAAGGACTCAGCAGAAGACCATGGAGGCCTGCTTCGTATTTGAAATATTGCAGAAACTTGCATTAATCTCAGGGCTTTTTTTTTGGCATGGGCTGTTCCTTCAAGCAGGAGAAAGTGAAAGTGTTAGTTGCTCAGTTGTTTTTGACTCTTTGTGACCCCGTGGACTGTAGCCTGCCAGGCTCCTCTGTCCGTGGAATTTTCCAGGTAAGAATACTGAGAGAAGGGTACAAAGTCAGGAAGGCAAGGTAAGCTCAGGCCTGAGACCACAATAGGAATGTTTAGCTCCCTAGTTAAGTCATGCTGTTTTCCTTTCCTTGGACCATAGTCCCTGGAAAATTTTATGAACACTTATAAACCATTTTGTGTAACTGCATGGTTTAAAAAAAAGTCAACTGAGATGCATTATTCCATTTGTAAAAAGACACTAATAAAAATGATAACATTGCTATCTGCCTAGCATTTGCTGCCGGAGCCCAGGCGTTCTGCCTGGAGTCCCTCCACTGTCTACCCTCCAGAAATGCTACTGTCCCCAGAGCTTCTAGAGTCGTGTTGATGCCGGAGCACAGAGCGCCTAGTGAGCACAGGACAATAGACCGTGGAATCTGTGTTCCTCACGTTTCGGCACTTGTAACATGCCCCCTGGGTCAGCAGGTGGTGCTAGGGAGCCGCCCACGGTTTAGGGAGGTGCTGTTGCTCAGACTCTTGGCAGCCCCCTGGACTGTTAACCCACCAGGCTACTTTGTCCATGGTTGCCATTTCCTAATCCAGGGCATCTTCCTGACCCAGGGATGGAGGGACGGAACCAATGTCTCTTGTCTCCTGAACTGGCGGGTGGATTCTTTACCACTAGTACCACCTGGGAAGCCCAGTGGCTTAGGAGGGCTTGCCTGAAAACTTCACAGACAGTGCCCCCCCACCCCCACCCACGCTGGGTTTCTGCAGAGGGGAAGAGCTGTGGGACCTCTAGAGCACACGCTGACCAGGAGAGCAACTAGCCCAGGTGCCCTTGGCCAAGCAATCTGTGAGGTTGGGGCAAGATCCAGCCAGTCCTGGGCGAGCCGTGCAGGCGGGGTCCACGTGGGGACGTTCAGGAAGATGGAGGCTGGGAAGGGCAGCCTTGACACGCGTGGCAGCGATCACCCCGTGCAGAGGGGAGCTGGAGGCTGAGGGGGCAGCTCTCAACACCTGTGGGTCTTCTCCGGGAACAGGTGTGGCCAGTGGTTGGGAAGCGGCTTCCTCAGTTGCAGGGTCACGCCGTCCCCCCGGTGCGCTCGCCCCAGTCCAGTCTCCCCTCCCCGGGTTTCTCCCACTACAAGCAGTGGGACAGCCAACAGCGGCTGTGCAGGAAGGAGGGAATCAGAGCACACGGCTGCAAACATGCTGTGGGGTCCGGAGCGACTGTGGGTGTGGGCAGGGAGACAGAGGGACCCTGAGGCAACCCCTCAGACTCTGGGTGGGTTCACTTAAGGACAGGAGACCATGTGTGAATAATTCCAACCCCTCAATCTACAGGGGAGGCAAATCCCTGGCAGGACAAGAGCCAGAACCCAGGGACTCTGCCCGATTTGATCGTCGCTTTATTTCCGCACCCATGATGCCGTCTAAAGGCAGTGAACGGATGCTCGTTCATTTTTCTCACCTACTAACCTTCCACCCAAAAGAGCCTTTTGTAGAGGGATGGGATGGGGTGGGAGCCGGGAGGGAGGTTCAAGTTCAAGTGGACACATGTATACCTATGGCTGATTCATGCTGATGAATATGATGGAAACCAACATGATCTTGTAAAGAAATTATCCTTCAATTAAAACTAAACTTTAAAAAGAGCCTTTTGCAGGCTTGTACAGATGTTTGAAAATCATTTCCTGGTATCTTTCATATCAATGACCATTGATATTATTCTTGGTCACTGAAAAGTGTATATAACTGGGTCACAAATACCTGTTTGGCAAAAAAAGAAAAATCAAGTGAAAATGAAAACCCAAGCTGTACCCATCACACTGACCCCAGCCCTCACCATGATGTGACTCTTCCCGTTCTTCCACAGGTCATCCCGTGACCCTAAGAGTAGGAAGGCCTCACCAGGACTTGTGAACATATTCCTTTTAACTTGTCTGTAGAAGGAAGCCTTAAATGTGACTACTGAGAGCTGAGAGAGAGGGTCCCTTCATTCTGTTTTTTTCTGCTGGCAAATCAGGAAGGTGACCCAGGAGGCTGACAGTTGGAAGCACCGCCCTCTGGGCCCCCTCAGTCTCAGCTCCATCATGACCTCTGGGCCGCCTCAGTTTCAGCCCCATCATCTGTCCCCTGGGGCCCATGTCTCACTCTCAGCTCCATCATCTGTCCTCTGGGCCCCCTCAGTCTCAGCCCCATCATCTGTCCCCTGGGCCGCCCCCAGTCTCAGCCCCATCATCTGTCCCCTGGGCCGCCCCCAGTCTCAGCCCCATCATCTGTCCTCTGGGCCCCTTCAGTCTCAGCCCCATCATGTCCTCTGGGCCCCCTCAGTCTCAGCCCTATCATGTCCTGTGGGCCCCCCAGTCTCAGCCCCAACATCTGTACCCTGGGGCCCCTGTCTCAGTCTCAGCCCCATCATCTGTCCTCTGGGCCCCCTCAGTCTCAGCCCCATCATGTCCTCTGGGCCCCCTGTCTCAGCCCCATCATGTCCTCTGGGCCCCCTCAGTCTCAGCCCCATCATGTCCTCTGGGCCCCCTCAGTCTCAGCCCCATCATCTGTCCCCTGGGGCCCCTCAGTCTCAGCCCCATCATGTCCTATGGGCCCCCTCAGTCTCAGCCCCGTCATCTGTCCTCTGGGCCCCCTGTCTCAGTCTCAGCCCCATCATCTGTTCTCTGGGCCCCCTGTCTCAGTCTCAGCCCCGTCATCTGTCCCCTGGGGCCCCTGTCTCAGTCTCAGCCCCATCATCTGTCCTCTGGGCCCCCTGTCTCAGCCCCATCATGTCCTCTAGGCCCCCTCAGTCTCAGCCCCATCATCTGTCCTCTGGGGCCCCCAGTCTCGGCCCCATCATGTCCTCTGGGCCCCTGTCTCAGTCTCAGACCCATCATCTGTCCCCTGGGGCCCCTGTCTCAGTCTCAGCCCCATCATGTCCTCTGGGCCCCCTCAGTCTCAGCCCCATCATCTTTCCCCTGGGGCCCCTCAGTCTCAGCCCCATCATCTTTCCCCTGGGGCCCCTCAGTCTCAGCCCCATCATGTCCTCTGGGCCCCCTCAGTCTCAGCCCCATCATCTGTCCTCTGGGCCCCCTCAGTCTCAGCCCCATCATCTTTCCCCTGGGGCCCCTCAGTCTCAGCCCCATCATGTCCTCTGGGCCCCCTCAGTCTCAGCCCCATCATCTGTCCTCTGGGCCCCCTCAGTCTCAGCCCCATCATGTCCCCTGGGGCCCCTGTCTCAGTCTCAGCCCCATCATGTCCTCTGGGCCCCCTCAGTCTCAGCCCCATCATCTTTCCCCTGGGGCCCCTCAGTCTCAGCCCCATCATGTCCTCTGGGCCCCCTCAGTCTCAGCCCCATCATGTCCTCTGGGCCCCCTCAGTCTCAGCCCCATCATCTTTCCCCTGGGGCCCCTCAGTCTCAGCCCCATCATGTCCTCTGGGCCCCCTCAGTCTCAGCCCCATCATCTGTCCTCTGGGCCCCCTCAGTCTCAGCCCCATCATCTTTCCCCTGGGGCCCCTCAGTCTCAGCCCCATCATGTCCTCTGGGCCCCCTCAGTCTCAGCCCCATCATGTCCTCTGGGCCCCCTCAGTCTCAGCCCCATCATCTGTCCCCTGGGGCCCCTGTCTCAGTCTCAGCCCCATCATGTCCTCTGGGCCCCCTCAGTCTCAGCCCCATCATCTTTCCCCTGGGGCCCCTCAGTCTCAGCCCCATCATGTCCTCTGGGCCCCCTCAGTCTCAGCTCCATCATGTCCTCTGGGCCCCCTCAGTCTCAGCCCCATCATCTTTCCCCTGGGGCCCCTCAGTCTCAGCCCCATCATGTCCTCTGGGCCCCCTCAGTCTCAGCCCCATCATCTGTCCTCTGGGCCCCCTCAGTCTCAGCCCCATCATGTCCCCTGGGGCCCCTGTCTCAGTCTCAGCCCCATCATGTCCTCTGGGCCCCCTCAGTCTCAGCCCCATCATCTTTCCCCTGGGGCCCCTCAGTCTCAGCCCCATCATGTCCTCTGGGCCCCCTCAGTCTCAGCCCCATCATGTCCTCTGGGCCCCCTCAGTCTCAGCCCCATCATCTTTCCCCTGGGGCCCCTCAGTCTCAGCCCCATCATGTCCTCTGGGCCCCCTCAGTCTCAGCCCCATCATCTGTCCTCTGGGCCCCCTCAGTCTCAGCCCCATCATCTTTCCCCTGGGGCCCCTCAGTCTCAGCCCCATCATGTCCTCTGGGCCCCCTCAGTCTCAGCCCCATCATGTCCTCTGGGCCCCCTCAGTCTCAGCCCCATCATGTCCTCTGGGCCCCCTCAGTCTCAGCCCCATCATCTGTCCCCTGGGGCCCCTGTCTCAGTCTCAGCCCCATCATGTCCTCTGGGCCCCCTCAGTCTCAGCCCCATCATCTTTCCCCTGGGGCCCCTCAGTCTCAGCCCCATCATGTCCTCTGGGCCCCCCAGTCTCAGCCCCAACATCTGTCCTCTTGGCCCCCTCAGTCTCAGCCCCATCATGTCCTCTGGGGCCCCCAGTCTCAGCCCCATCATTTGTCCTCTGGGCCCCCCAGTCTCAGCCCCATCATGTCCTCTGGGCCCCCTCAGTCTCAGCCCCATCATGTCCTCTGGGCCCCCTCAGTCTCAGCCCCATCATCTGTCCTCTGGGCCCCCCAGTCTCAGCCCCATCATGTCCTCTGGGCCCCTGTCTCAGTCTCAGCCCCATCATCTGTCCCCTGGGGCCCCTCAGCCTCAGCCCCATCATTTATCCTCTGGGCCCCCCAGTCTCAGTCTCAGCCCCGTCATCTGTCCCCTGGGGCCTCTGTCTCAGTCTCAGCCCCATCATCTGTCCTCTGGGCCCCCTCAGTCTCAGCCCCATCATGTCCTCTGGGCCCCCCAGTCTCAGCCCCATCATTTGTCCTCTGGGCCCCCCAGTCTCAGCCCCATCATGTCCTCTGGGCCCCTGTCTCAGTCTCAGCCCCATCATCTGTCCCCTGGGGCCCCTGTCTCAGTCTCAGCCCCATCATCTGTCCCCTGGGGCCCCTGTCTCGGCCTCAGCCCCATCATGTCCTCTGGGCCCCTGTCTCAGTCTCAGCCCCATCATCTGTCCCCTGGGGCCCCTGTCTCAGTCTCAGCCCCATCATCTGTCCCCTGGGGCCCCTGTCTCAGTCTCAGCCCCATCATCTGGCCCCTGGGGCCCCTCAGCCTCAGCCCCATCATTTGTCCTCTGGGCCCCCCAGTCTCAGTCTCAGCCCCATCATCTGTCCTCTGGGCCCCCTCAGTCTCAGCCCCATCATCTGTCCTCTGGGCCCCCTGTCTCAGCCCCATCATCTGTCCTCTGGGCCCCCCGTCTCAGTCTCAGCCCCATCATGTCCTCTGAGCCCCCTCAGTCTCAGCCCCATCATCTGTCCTCTGGGCCCCTCAGTCTCAGCCCCATCATGTCCTCTGGGCCCCCTCAGTCTCAGCCCCATCATCTGTCCTCTGGGCCCCCCGTCTCAGTCTCAGCCCCATAGTCTGTTCTCTGGGTCCCCCATCTCAGTCTCCGCTCCATCGAGCATCCAGGAAACGCCCAGTGTTGTGCATGTGATGAGTCCTCAGACCCATGCTCTTCTGTGATGGAAACTCACAGTGAGACTCACTTGGCTTCAAAGAACTGACTAGTTCACAGCTGCCTAGCGATGAAACTATCACAACAGATGTGATGGAAGGAGCCATGCGAGGGATGGGGGGCCTGAAAGAAGAATGGCAACACTCACATTTTTATAGAAATCACTTTTTATTTCTGTAGCGTACAAAAAGTATAAATATGTAAAACTGATCACCTGCACACTTGAGCAGGAAGGACAGGAGGCCGGGGTGTGTCTGCGCCAGAGTGGGAGCAGGAAGCAGGTCAGAGCAGCCGCCCCCAGGCCCCTCCCTAGACACTTCATATCCCCCGCTGGAGGCCAAGCGAGCAGCCTCAGGAGAGGCCAGCGGGGAGAGGGCACCTGAGGACCGAGGCACTTGAGGGACGCAGCCTGAGATGACCGCCGGGTGAGGACAGAGCAGTGGACGTGCGGGTGGGGTGAGCCATGGGTCGGCTCACCCCCAGTCTCTTTCCTTCCACTGCTGTTCGGTGTGGAGCAGGGACAGGAAGCAGGGACAGAAAGGACGTCCACGGAAGGAATGAGAAGGAGCAACAGCTGCCGCTGCCCAGCCCCAGGCTGGCGGACAGGCCTGGGGGTGACCGACGCCAGCGTGGAGCTCACGGCGCTCCTGAGATGCAGGACGCGGGTGCCCGAGCAGGCTGTAAACCGGCAGCAGAGCCATGCAATTTGTTGGGAGAGGCTAATAATCTGAACAACGTAGCAGAACTCTTACAATCTGCGAGCAGAAGCGACGGACCTGACCTGGCCGGGGGAGCCAGGCCTTGGGGCTGATGACACTTGCGTTGAGAAGAGAGTCCCGAGCGTCCTTGCCCTGGACAGTGACAGTGGCAGGCTTCCACACACACACAGTTCTCTCCCTCCCATGGGGCGGCAGGTGTGTCTGCACTAACGGCTCCACGGTAACCCATCGAGGGAGGTGCTCGGGCTGAGAATGATGAAGGCCACGTCAAAGCTTCTCAGTCATGACCTGACCAGGTCAGGTCCCCTCTAAAGTCCACGCTTCCAGCCTAAACCACGATTAAGACAATTTGTAAATTTCTCACATCACTGATCACAAATCGGGCCACAGCCACCCTGACTGAGACAGGGGCCAGCCAGCCAGCCTTGAGGGAAGAGGGGACTGTGATCAGGTGACTCCTGAGCCCGAGTGGAGCGGCTGCTTTGGGGAATGGGCGCCACACTCCCCCGGCAACCCCCTGCCCCCTGACAAAGACAGCAGGGGGCGAGCACTTCTCCGGGGGCCCCTCCTCCATGGGTGAGGCAGGTGTTGGGTGGACTTGGAATGACCACGATGGTAAACGATACTCTGGGAACCACTGTGGGCAGGACATGGGAAAGGCTACGTCACAGTGGACAAGGCCAGTGGACAAGGCCTCAGCTCCGACCTGCACTCCTGGAGGCAGTCGTCCCCCCAGGTGCTCTTGTGACCACAGGCTCATTATGGAAGACCACCAGGCCCAGGGCAGTACAGAGACCCTGGAAGTGGGGGATGGTCACATCTCCATGGATGAACCGGCCATTTTCAGAAAAAGTCTGCAGACCTGGAGACTGAAGGTCACTGAGGGAATTATCCCTCTCTGAGAAGGTCTGCAGGAAAGGAAAGTTAAGCTGATTCTGGATGCAAATTTCCAAGAACGAGACTCTGATGGCTGGGCGATAATGTCAGATCACCTCTGTGCTCTGCAAAACCTGTCACCCAAGCTAAGCCGTGATCCCTGAACAGGGCTGTGCGACCAGGGGGTGGGGTGTACAAACATACATGTGGGCGCACACGTATGTGAATCCACACACATCTACAGACACACTTCCAGGGACCGCTCCACAGGGGCAGCCTGTCGCTCCAGATGTCCTGGGGCGGGAGCAGGGCGGCAGCACTCTGCTCCGGCCGCTCGGTCTCACTCGCAGGCCAGCTTGCTGTCGAAGCTGGAGAGCCCGATGGCAAAGGCCTGGAGTGCACAGAGCGGGTAGTTGTAATCCAGCGTGAACACGTCGTCGGCCACGCGTCCAAACTGCATGACTATGTAGTCAGCTGGAAGCAGAGGGCAGGCACGTCAGTTGGGGAGGTGCTTCTACCCGGAAGGGCCCACTTTAGATACAGAGACAAACCCTCTACACAGGCCAGTGATCCCAGCTCTCCAAAATGGGAATCCCTCAGAAGGATGGAAAGAGGCGTGACCAAGAGTGCCCACTCCCCGCCACCCCAGGCTCTACTATGACCCACTCTGCTCCAGGGAAGGAGGCTGCCCAGGGCAGGCCTAGAGGAGGGGACGGCCAAGAGGAGCCTGCCTAGCGCAGCATGAGCTCTGTGGGCCCGACTGGACTCGCCCAGAAGCGTCACTGAGAGGCAGGGTCTGTGTCCCTGCTTTGTACGCTGCCTCCCCCGGGACGTCTCTGTCTCACGTCTGCCCTCCACACAGCGACTCAGAGGTCTGACTGTACAGTGCAGCTCTGTGCTTCCAAACGAACCATTTCTCTTTCTTAAACCACTCTCTCCTGAGTGTAACTTCCTACCAAACAAGGGAAGTGCTCATTTCCGAATCTCGCCAGAACACCCTTCTCCCTGGGGGCTTACGGTCGTTGTCGTGGACGATCTGGAAGTTCTTCACAGACGCCTGAGTGACCCGGCCGTGGAAGTTCAGGACGTAGGACTGAGTGTCATCGTTCCAGACCGGCGACTTGTTGTGCAGCTCGATCAAGTTCTCCATGGCTTTGTTCTGCCATTTTGAAAGCAAGCTCTCGTGGTCCTGCAGGCAAAGGGTCTGTGCTGAGAGCCAGAGGAGATCACTCCTCCTCCACCCTGTGCAGGGGCGGGCAGAGGAGCGGCCTATTTTCTCCATTTCAGAAAATAAAACAGAACATCAAAGGTTAAGCCAGGTTTTCTGGATTCTTAGAGAATCACTAGCAGTTGCAAAGTAAGTGGCTACAATCAACTGCACAAGCAAGTGCAGGTGCCCGGGGGTCTGGAGCGACGGCACGGCTCTGAAGGAGAGGGCCGGTCGCCACACTGGGCTCTAGTGGAAGCAGGAGTCTCTTCTACTGATCTTATCTGCATCACGGTCTTATTTTTAGGGTCCTTTGCTGATTACATATGAATACCTATAGCTGATTCAAGCTGATACATGGCAGAAACCAACACAATATTGTAAAGTGATCATCCTTCAATTAAAAATAAAGACTTTTTTAAATTAAAAACGAATACACTCTAACTTACATTTCGTGGCTGAAAAGGGATCCGTTCATGATTCATATTCATCCCAGGGATGATCACAGACATTTTCCTCGGGCCTTTAAATCCAAGTACATTTGTCTCCTAGAAGAGAGGGAAATAAACAGGAACTTGAAACAGAAAAGAAAAGCGACGACATTCTTAGCACAAGACTCTGCTGGGCACGCGAAACGTCCACAATGTGGAGAGCATAAAAACCATTCAATTACTTCACTGTAGTTAAACCAAGAGAGACAGGGAATTAAGACCAGGAAAATAATACTATTTCTTTTTTTTAACCTACTTCGAACATTTGAATCTAAAGCAGATTCTATTATCTAGAAACCTTACTCTTCCTCTTTAGCCTGAAGTGAAATTTAAGACAATTTTGAGCAAACTGCCCAGTTTAATCATCATCAATAAATATCTACTTCCCAACTAAGGACATGGCACTATCTGATATACAGGGAGAATTACAGTTTAACTAAAGCCTGTACTTGGAAGTAAAAAATTAAAATGCCTGTCAAGCCAGGCAGGTTATACATGAATAAGTACATTAAATATGTGGATGTGTGTATATTTACGTACATATACAGGTGCATATTAAAGTCATGCATAGTTAAAATATTTCATTGATTCTGAAGCTAAGAGAAAACATACCATAGGTTATAAAGGGTTAAGTCAAATGATTCTCAGTCACACAGTTAAAACCTCATGGGAATCAAGTGATGAGATTAATTCCAACTGAAGAAAAGCTGAGACTCTAGGATCAAAGCAACAACTGAGTCAGGTTAATTCCTTCTCGCTTCTCTGACTCTGCGTGCTCTCTACAAGGCGGGTCCGGGTTTGCGTGGAAACAGCAGTGAGCAGGAGTTTACAAAGTGGTCAGAGAAGGGTCAGAAGCATGACGAGGGGAGCTCACGGGGTGCAAGAGGAATCGAGGGGAGCCGAGGGGAGCGTCAAGCATGTCCCATGTGAGGAGAGGCCCCTCTGCAGACCCTGGTGGGCAGGCAGGAGGGGGCGGTGGGCGGGGAGGTCAGAGACAACAGGAGGGCTGCTGCAGCTAGAGGGGCAGGGAGCGTGCTGCCGGGGGAGCCGGAGGGTGAGGTGGGAGGTCCGGCTGGACTCTGGACTCGGGGGGCAGCCTGACAGGCCGTGGAGCAGAGGACGCCGTCCGCTAGAGCGGGGCCGCCTGGCAGCAGCCTGGAGAAGACGGAAGCAGGGACTGGTTTCCCAGTCACTGTCCCCTCTAGCCAGTGTTCCAGCGGCAACACAGTGAGCGTTCACACCACCGCGGCATGGGGAAGGGACAAGGGCAGAGGAGGCAGGGCCTGCCAGAACAGTAAACACACTAAACTTGGCAGATCACAAGCAAACCTGAGCGTACTAGGAAACAAGTGTGGGGGGCAGGAGGGGTGCAGACTGTGAGCTCGGGGCTGCTCAGGAGGCCGGAGAGATAGCACTCACATAGCACACGGCGGCCAGCTCCTGCCGCGTATAGGCCTTTTCCACCAGGCCCTGGGCTTTGGTCGGGCTCACGCCGTGGTCATACACGGTGAACTTAGTCCCCATGAGGTTGGACCTAGAATCAAGAAGAAAAATCACCACAGAGCTCTGTAATTTTCTCATTTTCCATCCTTAAAACAAGGAGAGGCCTTGGGCTTTCTATTAACTTATTTGTCTTTAGATGACATCAACCCAGCTCACTGTTAAACCAGTGTGGACTTGCTTTGAGACTACAGGAATCAAGCTCTCCCAAGAAGAGGACGTGACATGAGGTTGCCCCCACCTGAGCTTGCCAATGTAGCTCTCCCCATCTCGGGACAGGTCTGTGGGGTCCGTGGAGATGAGGTAGTTGGAGGTCTTGCTCTTTTTCCGCTTCCTACCTGCAAGAAGAAATATCTAGAAAAGGAAAAAACATTTCAGTAAAAAATGCACTCAAGAGCTGCCATGTGTGTCCTGCCCATTCAGTGAGCAAATAGCCAGCAGCTGCCTGTCCGATACCAAGCAGTCCACCTCCGGGTCTTTTCTACTTTTAAACTGGTTTAATTCACTTTAACTTTTCTTGTAGAAAAGCCACGTGGTGGCCGCAGCTGGAGTGTGGGTCCTGTGCACAGAGACTCCGGTGTGGGTCATTACGGGACGCTCAGCGCATTCTCAGAGACACTCTCCCCTCACAGCCTGGGGTGAGGCAGCCCAAGTCTTGGCAAGACGATTTCGGCACAGCGCCGGGGTGGCGTGCAGCCCAGCCACAGCACAGCACTGTCCATGCTGGCCAGCTGGCAGCTTCTCAGGCACAGGAACAGAGGCTATGCTAGGGTCCCGGGGCGGGGGTGAGAGGCGCCAGCCCGGAGCCGAGCAGCCAGTCAGCCTGCAGGATGGTGTGGGGCCTGTTGACCCTGCTCCCAGCAGCCTCACCACACAAGGACTGTGGAGAACCCGGCCAGAACCATGGCCTCACGGATGGCAGCAGTGACCTCCCTGAAGCCCTGAATGCCCAGACCAGCCTCTGTGCACTAAAACCCCGGTGGTGACGATGCCTGGCCCCTGGTCCGCAGGCCAGCACATGTTAAACTCACGCATCATGTTCAAAACCTAGTCCTGGAGGGATACTCCCAGGCAGAAGTCAGTCATCTCGGGTTCCCAGATGGACAGGCATGAGAGACAGGTCTCCTGCAGAGCCTGGACGAGGCACCAGCTGGGTGAGGGGCACCCACTCCCTGTCCCTGACCTTGCCGCCCTGTGCTCAGTGGCCTTGGGCACCCAGGTGCCACAGTGGAAGCCACTGCGGCCTCCTCTCCTAGGGCCCCTGGGGCCTCCAGGCCTTTCATAGCACCAGCACACCCGCTGTTTGGGCTTTGCCTCTTAGAATTCACTACCAGGGTCTCCCAACTGCCTAATTTTTCTAAATTCACTAGCTTCATTCTCCACATCATTATTTGTAACTTCATCCCCAAAACCTCCACTGACATTTTATTTATTTATATTTTTTTGCCCGCACCAGGTCTTAGTTGCGTCATGTGGGATCTAGTTCCCCGCCCAGGGATCAAGCCCAGGGCCCCCTGCATTAGGAGAGTGGAATCTTAGCCACTGGACCACCAGGGAAGCCCCACTCCACTGACATTTTAAACAAGCTTCATGCAGTTTCACAAGAAGGCTGCCTCCGCCCTGGAGAGGCAGGACCTTGGACACTGGGCCCCCCACTCCCCACCGCACTGCCTTCCAGCCCACTGTGTGCGTGGCTGTTCTGAGCTCCTGTGGCTTCAGGGATGCGGGTACCATGGTGTGGGCGTCCTTCCCAAACCCTGCTGGACCTGGAGAGTAACAGGGCGGTGGGCAAGGGCAGTACCTGGGGGTTGGGGGGCACTATGGAGTCAAACCGGTTCAGACTGGCTCTGCCACTTGTTGGTGTGATACGGGTGCTCCCCAAGCCCCAGCTACCTCGCCCGCACAGGGGGGATAAGGACTCCTGTCTTACACGCTGTCCTAAGGCTCCAGGTGACGACACACACCAAGCCGGAGCACACACCTGGCATGCAGCACACACGCAGCGAACAGTGGGTGTCAACAGCACTGACACCGACTACCACCATCTTATTTCTAGGCTCTTAAAATCATCCACTTAGACCTGGTATCAACACAAAATAGGCTAGTCACTAGCAAATACTAACTGCCTCAAATTTAAGGGTAAATCAGAATTTCTAGGATGAAAAACAAGACATTTCACTACCATGTTTTTGTTTTTCCAATTCCTCCTATTCCCTAAAATGTACTTTCTTCTACACTGGCATGTTCTACCATGTAATAAGAATAAAAGTCTAAGAGCACGCTGGAAACCCCTGCATGCCAAAAGAGGGATGGAGGTAAAAACAATTACATCTAAATATCCTCCTCCATTTTATGACTCCTGGATAAAACTCTCTTTTTCTCTGGGGTGGGGGTGGATTTTGACCATTAGACTAGGACCTCTCTGAAGACAGTGAGAACACGGCACTGGAAACTCCTAAGTACAACCTCGTTCCTGCTGACTAGGTCTAAGGCTGGTGCCTCCACCACCCTGTTCTTAAGACCATTACCGCCCCCATCTCTACAGCACGCTTTCCTCCATCTCAAGATAAGAACCACTTCGCCTACCTTGCGATTCTCATCCTTTTCCAAGTGCATGTAGTAGGTGGGGAAGAGCCCCCGGTCCATCCCTTTCTTGTCCCGGGTTATCCGACACTTCACTGTGACACCTCGCGGCGCAGGACTGTACGCGAAGCCTTCCAAGTCCTCTATTTCTCCCGGCTGAATGTCAGAGTGAGGGGCTGCGGTCCCGGAGGCCCCTGTGCCCTGAGAGAGCAGCCACAGCTGAGTCAGGAAACCTCATGTTCTCTTTGAGAAACACTTAAAGGACAAATTAACTTACTGATTTACCCACATGACCACTGGGAGTAATGAAGAAGGGAAGTATGAAAATGGGATACAGCTTTACAAAAGCTGGCTGAAGACACAGGAAATACAGAGTCATGGGTTCTAAGTGTAATTCCAGCTTAAACCCTGGAAGCAGCCCTCATCCAGTGATGGCACTTAAACAGGAAGACGTGTCCAGGAAGCAGTGAAATCAGCCCCAGAGGAAGAAGGTTCAGGACTACATACCGGGGCTGGCTTCTGGCTGGATGCAGAACCGGGTCTCTCTGCCTCTGAACACGGCGACTGAGACCTTAGTTGGTTCCCTTCTCCTTCCTCCCCATCAGTCTCCTCCTCGTCAAAGTTCAAACTCCCTGAGATCCCTGGCAGAAAAGGAGAAACTGTTTTAAAAAAAGGCCAGAAAATCTTTGAGCCAAATATAATTTTAACTCCCTTGCTTAAAACATTCCAGCTGTTCTGACTTAACACACAGCTCTTTTATGCACATTCTGACAACTCTTTTATATTCTCACAATTCTTTCTTCATATTCTCACCTACTCCACCCTTCATTTTCCCTGCCCACTGCTGCCACCCTAATTTGAGCCTCTTTAAAATATTCTATGAGAGAAAATATCTGCAAATCATATATCTAATAAGGATTAATATCCAGAATATTTAACTCAACAGCAACAAAACAACCCCAATTCAAAAATGGGTCAAGGACTTGAACAGACATTTCTCCAAAGATACATAAGTGTCCAATAAGCATGAGAAGATCCTCAACATCACTAGTCATTAGGGAAATGCAAATTAAAATCACAATGAGATACCACTTGACAAGCACTGGGATGACTACTATAAAAAAAAAATACCAGGCTTCCCTGGTGGCTTAGTGGTAAAGAATTCTCTTGCCAATGCAGGAGACACTGGTTCTATTCCTGATCCAGGAAGATCCCACACGCCGCAGGGCAGCTAAACCCATGTGCCACAACTACTAAGCCCGTATCCTACAGCCCGGGAGCTGCAACTACCAAAGTCCGCACACCCAGAGCCTGTGCCCCGCAGCAAGAGAAGCCCGAGAACCGCAACTAGAGAGCAGCCCCCACTTGCTGCAACTAGAGAAAGCTCGGGCAGCAACAAAGACCCAATGAAGCCAAAAATAAATTAAAAAATAATAAGTTTAAAAACACAACAACAAAAACCCAAAAACAGAAAATAAGTGTTGGTGAGGATGTGGAGAAACTGGAACCCTAGTGCACTGCTGGTGGTGATGCAAAATTATGCAGCCACAGCAGAAAACAATATAGTGGTTCCTAAAATAGACATATAGAACTACCCTAGAATCCAACAATTCCACCTCTGGGTATATTCCCAAAAAGACAGCAAGCAGAGACACAGACAGACACTTGAACAACCAACGTGCAGAGCAGTGTTCTTCTCAATTTTCAAATGGTGAAAACAACCCAAACATCCACCAACTGATGAATAAACAAACCGTGGTACATACATAAATGGGATGTCATTCAGCCTTAAGAAGGAATGAAATCCTGACACATGCTACAACATGAATGAATCCTGAAGACATTATGCTAAGTGAAAATAAGTCAGATACAAAAGGCCAAAACACCTGTGATTCTATATATGTGAGCTGTGAGGGGAGAGGAGGAGCTGGGGAGGCAGTGCTCACCGGGGACACAGGCTCAGTCTGTGAAGGTAACAAAGGCCTGGAGATGACAGTGGGGAGGCCCGGGAGTAGCATTTTTGCCCAAGACAAAGAAGCAGAGCTACGCTTGAAACCCAACCCTCTTTCTCTTTAGTCTCTGGGGTGAGGCTGCCCCTCATACAATAGCTGGCACAGCTCCCAAATCATAACTGACAAGGAGACTGAGCAACAGGCAGTCCTACCCATCTCGGAGAGGGACCACCATGAGCTCTTTTCACACAGTTCACAAATAAATGGTATCAAGTTTTTCTCAAGGACACCCAAGGATAAGACTAAAGCCAGGAAAACGCATGTCCATATGAAAATATATGCATAACTATTTACAGCAGCGCTATTCCTAACAGCCAGAGTGGAACCACACCAACTGCCCATCAGCTGACAACAAGAAGAACAAAAGATGGCTTATGTGTACAATGGAACGTAACTCAACTATAGAGAGCAATGAAGCACTGACAGGCCGCAACGTGGATGAACTCTGAAAAAATGATGTTAAGTGACAGCCAGGCACAGAGGGCCCACACAGCATGTGGCTCCTGACATGAGAACCCAGAATCAGCAGGTCCGCAGAGAGAAGGGAGACCGGTGGCCACCTACGGATGGGGTGCTGAGAATGTAGGAAATGAGGGGGGACAGCTAACAGGCACGAAGCCCTGTGGGGTCAGACAACATTCTAAAATTGAGAGTGCTGATGGCTGCAGGCTTCTGGGCAACACACTAAAGGGCCAATCAACTGCTGGCTTTAAGCGGGTGAACCGTGTGTTATGTGAATGACATCTCAATAAAACCACCATTTAAAAGATTCGTTGGTTTGTGACAGATATCTGTTTCTTTTTTCCTTCCCTAAAATGTTAACTTCTGGGGGCGGGCAGCAAACAGGCATAAAGCTCTTGGGACCCCACTCCCCCATGGGTATCTTCACTTCTGCTATGCTTTCTTCTATTAGAAGTGCAGTTGGCTTACAACGCTAGTGCTGTTTCCAAACACCATTTTTATACTGAGAACTCAGTCTATGTGAACATGTACCTTAAGACAGAGATCAAGGATTTCTCCCAAACTTGTAAGACAAGTAAACGAACCTTATCTTTCAAAACGACACTTCCTGAATCTTGGTCTAGAGAGCACCCTCCCCCTCCATTCCTCACAGCACAGAGTAACTCTTGTCCAGCCCACACCTGACGTCACTCCGGCTCAACCAGCTCACGGCCTCAAAGCAGGGACCCCCTCACCGTGCTGTCGGAGCACCTCCTGCAGATCCGGCTTGGGGGCGGGGTCCCGAGCGCTCTCCCCGTCTGGGCTCCCCTCAGTGTCCTCTGCGGCAGAAGAGCCTACCGTGAGATCAGGAAGTCTGGTGTCCACGTCCTGAGCATCCGGCTTCAGGAAGGCAGCAGGACCATCGATGCCTAGGAGCCCAGCAAAAAGAAAACAGAAGCCAGTATTATCCGCTCTGTGGACAGGGGGTTCTGGTGCGCGTGATCCGAGTGGACACCCACCAAGCTGGTTCACTTCTCCGCCTTAACCTCCACGAGAATATCTGTTAACAGAGGAAGCCACTCCATTATCTGTGTTCATTTTATCAAGCTGTCCCGACTAGAGGCTATAAAGTATTAATAAACTGCACCTGACGCTCTGCTCCAGAAACTTAAGAAAGAGACAGAAAGCAAAGCAGGTCTTCCGGACTTGAGACCTGGTCCAGGCAGGTGGCCAGGGGCTGGCTTTAGCCGTGTTTAACCCTGCTCTTCCTCCTCCCTGCCACTGTCGCTGCTGTTTCCTGAGTCCAGGTACTGGAGGAATGGTTGCCTCTACCTGCTCCTGGCTTTACGGTTCCCTCTGCGGGAGACAACCACCAAGCCTGCAAACTCCTCAAATAGGCTGTTCTGGGGGCTTCCCTGGTGGTCCAGCGGTTAAGACTCATCACTTCAATGGGGAACTAAGATCCCACACTCATTCATTTTGCAGCTAAAACAACTGTTCCAGGATGGCTGTGAACTTTCAGGTATCCTCCACTGATAGGACCACTGCGTTTATTTCAACTCAAAAGCCTAAACGTGATTATAAAGATTATGAAGGGACCTGGTAACGATGCCGACATCGTCCCTTTGGCCCTCCTGAGAAGGTGCTGCCTTCCCCCAGGTCTGTGAAAGCCGTGCAGCAGCAGGAGGGGACGGTGCCTGAGTACACACCCTGCAAGACGACACCGCCATGTGGGGCCTGAGGTTCCACCAGCAGAGTGAGCTCCTCGCAGCCCCTCGGCTTCGCCCGCCGCGGCCGGGCCTCCAGGTTCGGCTGCACCATGAGCGGCTCCAAGCGCTTTTTCCTCTGCTTCTTCTCCAGCAGCGCTCTCTAAGGAGAATCGTGAGAGGACAGCCAGATCACCCCCAGGTCTGGCTACTTCAGAATATACAGTCTTTCACAGATCCTTACAGAACCTCTGGTAAATTACATTTTCCCACTCAAGAAGTGGGAAAAACTGAGGCACAGAGAGGGGTAAGGATCCATTCACTTCATTTAATAACTATTTACTAAACACCTATGAAAAGCCATCTAAAGTGATACAAATGCATTTCTAGCCAAGCAAAGACCATAATCCAAGTATATTAAAAAGATAGAGTAATTAACATATTATTATCAAATCACAATCACAAGTTTATATAAACACATGTGAGTGGGAGAAAAGATGAAGGAACATGGTAACAGTGATTTCTCTAGCAGGTAGAAAGTGGATAATTATTTTTCCTTTTCCTAGTTTTCTAAACTTTCCTACTTTTTTAACTGGAAGAAAAAAAGAAAACTTATTATCCTTTAGGAGTGGAGAAAAGGGGCCCCAACAACACTGTTGGTGGGAATGTAAACTGTTACAGCTGCTATGGAGAACAGTATGGACGGTCCTTAAAAAAACTAAAAACAGAACTACCATATGATCCAGCAATCCCACTCCTGGGCATACATCCAGAGAGTATATGCCCTTGAAAGGACACACGTACCCCAGTGTTCACTGCAGCATCCTTTACAATAGATAAGACATGGAAGCAACCTAAATGCCCATTGACAGAGGAATGGATAAAGAAGATGTGGTACATATATATATAATGGAATATTATTACTCAGCCATTGATAAGAAAGAAATAATGCCTTTTGAAGCAACGTGGATGGACCTGGAGATTATCATACTGAATGAAGTAAGTCAGACAGAGAAAGACAAATATCTTGTGATACTGCTTATATGCAGAATCTAAAAAAAAAAAAAAATGATACAAATGAACTTATTTACAAAACAGAAAGACTCACAGATTTAGAGAACGAACTTATGGTTGCCAGGGTGAAGGGACAGTTAGGTAGTTTGGCATGGACATGTACATACTGCTATATTTAAAATAGATAACCAACAAGGACCTACTGTACCACACAAGGAAATCTGCTCAATATTCTGTATAATCTAAATGGGAAAAGAATTTGAAAAAGAACAGATACATGTATACACCACTGAGGTGACTGCCACCACCTTGAAGCACAGGGTGCCTGAAGACCACTGGGTCATGCTCCATTCCAGGGGCACAGGAGAAGGCTGGATCCCTCCCATGTGTTGGCATGAGAGGCAGTGGACGTGGTGACAGGCCCCACACAGACACCACGGACACCAAGGGTCTGGGAGGGGTCCTGGAAGCCAGACAACCCCAGGAACGTCACCCTGGAGACAGCTGAACTAGGTTCCACCTTTGAAGTAATTTACTGCCCTCCAAGTCCCCTTACACAGAACTATACAAAAGAGATCTTAATAACCCAGATAACCATGATGGTGTGATCACGCACCTAGAGCCAGACATCCTAGAGTAGGAAGTCAAGTGGCCCTTAGGAAGCATCACTACAAGCAAAGTTAGTGGAGGTGATGGAATTCCAGCTGAGCTACTTCAAATCCTAAAAGATAATGCTGTGAAAGTGCTGCACTCAATATGCCAGCAAATATGGAAAACTCAGCAGTGGCCACAGGATTGGAAAAGGTCAGTTTTCATTCCAATCCAAAAGAAAGTCAATTCCAAAGAATGTTCAAACTAGTGCACAACTGCACTCATCTTACACACTAGCAAAGTAATGCTCAGAATTCTCCAAGCTAGGCTTCAACAGTACATGAACCTAGAACTTCCATATGTTCAAGCTGGATTTAGAAAAGGCAGAGGAACCAGAGATCAAATTGCCAACATCCACTGAAATGGGTGAATTTAACTCAGATGATGATTCTATCTACTACTGTGGGCAGGAATCTCTTAGAAGAAGTGGAGTAGCCATCACAGTCAACAAGAGAGTCTGAAATGCAATCTCAGATTGTACTTGGATGCAATCTCAAAAAGGACAGAATGATCTCTGTTCATTTCCAAGGCAAACCATTCAATATCACAGTAATCCCAAGACTATGCCCCGACCAGTAATGCTGAAGAAGCTGAAGTTGAATGGTTCTATGAAGACCTACAAGACCTTTTAGAACTAACACCCAAAAAAGATATCCTTTTCATTATAGGGGACTGGAATGCAAAAGTAGGAAGTCAAGAAACACCTGGAGGAACTGGCAAATTTGGCCTTGGAGTACAGAATGAAGCAGGGCAAAGGTTAATAGAGTTTTACCAAGAGAACGTACTGGTCATAGCAAACACCCTCTTCCAACAACACAAGAGAAGACTTTACACATAGACAACACCAGATGGCCAACATTGAAATCAGACTGATTATATTCTTTGCAGCCAAAGATGGAGAAGCTCCATACAGTCAGCAAAAACAAGACCGGGAGCTGACTGTGGCTCACATCACAAACTCCTTATTGCAAGATTCAGACTTAAATTGAAGAAAGTGGGGAAAATCACTAGACCATTCAGGTATAACCTAAATCAAATCCCTTACGATCATACAGTGGAAGTGACAAACAGATTTAAGGAACTAGATCTGATAGACAGAGTGCCTGATGAACTATGGACAGAGGTTCGTAACATTATACAGGAGACAGGGATCAAGACCATCCCCAAGAAAAAGAATGAAAAAAAGCAAAATGGCTGTCTGAGAAGGCGTTACAAATAGCCTTGAAAAAAAGAGAAGCCGAAAGCAAAGGAGAAAAGGAAAGATATACCCATGTGAATGCAGAGTTACAAAGAATAGCAAGAACAGATCAGTGATCAGTGCAAAGAAATAGAGGAAAATAATAGAACGGGAAAGACTAGAGATCTCTTCAAGAAAATCAGAGACACCAAGGGAACATTTCATGCAAAGATAGGCTCACTAAAAGACAGAAATGGTAGGGACCTGACAGAAGCAGAAGACATTAAGAAGAGGTGGCAGAATACACAGAAGAACTGTACAAAATAGATCTTCATGACTCAGATAATCACGATGGTGTGATCACTCACCTAGAGCCAAACATCCTGGAATGTGAAGTCAAGTGGGCCTTAGGAAGCATCACTACAAACAAAGCTAGTGGAGGTGATGGAATTCCAGTTGAGCTATTTCAAATCCTAAAAGATGATGCTAAAAAAACAAAAATACTTAAAAAAATAAAATAAAAGATGATGCTGTGAAAGTGCTGCACTCAATATGCCAGCAAATTTGGAAAACTCAGCAGTGGCCACAGGACTGGAAAAGGTCAGTTTTCATTCCAACCGCTAAGAAAGGCAATGCCAAAGAATGCTCCAACTACCGCACAATTGCACTCATCTCACATGCTAGTGAAGTAATGCTCACAATCCTCCAAGCCAGGCTCCAGCAGCACGTGCACCGGGAACTGCCAGGGGAAGCTCCCCAGGCAGAGGAACCGGAGGTGGAATCGCCGGCACCCACTGATCACCGGAAACGCGGGAGCGGTCCCGAAAAGCATCTGCTTCTGCTTTACTGACTGTGCCAAGGCCTGTGACTGTGTGGATCACAACAAACTGTGGAAAATTCTGCAAGAGATGGGAATACCAAACCTCATGACCTGCCTCTTGAGAAATCTGTATGTAAGTCAGGAAGCAACAGTTAGAACTGGACATGGAACAACAGACTGGTTCCAAATCAGGAAAGGAGTCCGTTAAGGCTGTATATTGTCACCCTGCTTATTTAACTTATATGCAGAGTACATCATGCGAAATGCTGGGCTGGATGAAGCACAAGCTGGAATCAAGATTGTTGGGAGAAATACCAATAACCTCAGATACACAGATGACACCACCCTTATGGCAGAAAGTGAAGAACTAAAGAGCCTCTTGATGAAAGTGAAAGAGGAGAGTGAAAAAGTTGGCCTAAAGTTCAACATTCAGCAAACTAGGATCACAGCATCCGGTTCCATCACTTCATGGCAAATAGAAGGGGAAACAACAGAAACAGTAACAGACTTTACTTTCTTCAGCTCCAAAATCACTGCAGTGACTGCAGCCATGAAATTAAAAGATGCTTGCTTCTTGGAAGAACAGTTATGACAAACCTAGACAGCATATTGAAAAGCAGAGACATTACTTTGCCAACAAAGGTCCATACAGTCAAAGCTATGGTTTTTCCAGCAGTCATGCATGGATGTGACAGTTCATAAAGAAGGCTGAAGAACTGATGCTTTTGAACTGTGGTGTTGGGGAAGACTCTCGAGAGTCCCTTGGTCTGCAAGGAGATCAAACCAGACCATCCTAAAGGAAATCAGACCTGAATAGTCACTGGAAGGATTGATGCTAAAGCTGAAACTCCAATACTTTGGCCACCTGATGTGAAGAACTGACTCATTAGAAAAAACCCTGAAGCTGGGGAAGATTGAAGGCGGGAGGGGAAGGGGACGACAGAGGATGACATGGTTGGATGGCATCACTGACTCGATGGACATGAGTTTGAGCAACCTCCAGGAGATAGTGAAGGACAGGGAAGCCTGGTGTGCTGCAGTCCATGGGGTGGCAAAGAGTCAGACACGCCTGAGCGACTTAACAACAAAAAGTCCCGTTACGAGGTCCAACAGCAACATAAAGGAGCAAGACAGAAGTTGGAGGTATTTTTAGTCACCTGTCACTCCAGACACTGATGGCTAATGATCCTACTTGGGCAGACTGGATGGACCTAAAGAATTTTCTGAATTAGAAAACACTCCTATGAAAGTAACACATGTTGGGTATAAGATTCTAGGCTGATTAATCAGGACTCTCACAGTGTGTGACAAGACAGAACTGCATTTCTCTCTTCCATCATTCCAATATTTAATGAAGGACTACAATGGGCCCAGCCCTAGGCCAGGACCTTCTGATGGAAAGGTCATCATTAACAGACTTCTTGGCTCCTTTTCTCATGGAGCTTAGTCTACAGGAGGAAATGAACATAAGTCAAATCACTGCAAATAATAACGCGTAACTGAAAAGTGGGACCAGTACTGTGAGAAAAAGTATTCTGTAGAAAATAGAGGCTTTTAAGTAGCACAGTACCATTTTCAGATTTGCATTTTAAGATAAAGAAAAAATCTTGCCATGAAATTACAGTGCAGAGAGGTATTTGGGCAGCAGTTTCGTATTGCTATACAGAAATACAGCATTAACATTTTTCTAATTCTTATGACAGATGCCAAGGAATCTTCAGTGACTATAAATCCAAGGCCAGTTTTAATGCTGATGTCCTCAAAGTGCTTTGGCCTTGCTGTAGCTGCAGTCAGGCCCACCGGCTTCCTGGTCAGGATAAGCTGTCCACATCTTTCAGAAGAGGAGACTCTGCTCACCTGGTTATCCAGTTTCAGCTGCCTGAGCTTCATGGTCTCATCTTCAAAGGCTCTGTTAAAAAAAACATGAAAGCACTTAAAGAGAAAATCCTCTTAAAACCACATCAGTCTCGTCATTTCCATGTAGCTAGCTACTCCTGTGGGCCATTTGGAACCAGTTAAGTCTACCTCGGGGAAGTGCCGGTCCCCACAGGCTGCCCACACTGACTGCAGGAGGACCGGCCACCCTTCATGCCACACAGTCCAGGGGACCTGACGAGCCTGGATACCCACAGGATGAGAAAAGGCAGAACACAGACCCCCGTGCACGCCAGGACTGTTTTTCCTCTTTAAAATCATGTGATGAGTATTCATTACATTCCAGACAGTGTTAAGTACTTTAAATTTATTCTTTTATTTATTCCTCAAAACAGTCCTATGAATTAAGTACTGCCATTTTTCACACTTTGAAAATAAAGGGAACAGACCTGGAGAGCCGCGCCTAGGCTTAAATAACAGAAACAGACACTAATCCTGGTCTCTTTCCAGAGTCTAAATTACATCTAAACATCAAATATATTCTACTTCTGTTTTTCTTTTGTTTTTTTGTTTTTAATTTTTATTGGAATATAATTGATTTATAATGTTGTGCTAGTTTCAGGTATACAGCAAACTGATCAGTTAATACATACATCCATTTTTTTTTTAATTCTTTTCCCATATAGATCTACTTCTTTTTTGGAAATAGTTCTAAGAGATAGGTAGTATAAAGCATCTTACTAAAATCACTGACTTCAAGATCTAGCAAGTCAGGTAACTTCCTTTTCAATAAAAGAGTAAAACACTATTCAGTCATTACAAGAGAGAACAAATGTTTATGGACAACATATAATACTATTAGGAGACAAATTTGTTTCACTAAAGGAAGTCAACAAAGTGGAATCAAATTACTGTCTCAATTAAAAAACCAAACCCTTCTGTCTGTCTTTAAATTCTTTCTGAAAATCTTTTCTATTTCTGACAATTTCCTAACTTAAGATTTTGTGACTCAGCATTCTTAGAAACGAAGTATAAAACAAGGGAGAAATGGTTCTCAATTATTTCTATTGTTAAGTTTTTACTAGGAGCTTCTTGCCAAAAAAAAAAAAAGAAAAACTATAAATACGAGGTCTTTATTTAAGAAGACATGTTCCACAGCTATAAAGGGAAGCAGGGCTTTTCCTGCACTTTCGGTAAATACACAAAAGCATCTCTCTGTGGTTGAACGGCTAACTAGGACATTCCCACACTGTGGAAGGCTTTATAAATTTTAATAATGCACAGCAACCTGGAATTTGTGCACCATCTTCAAGACTCCTCCTGCCCACTAACTGTAAGCAGATTTAATAACCCCTGAGATAGGAATCAGCACACAGAGGTGTGCTGATGCTCTGGCAGTCCCCTCTATTAATTCCTATGTAACCTTTACATCTTGGAGAAGGAAATGGCAGCCCACTCCAGTACTCTTGCCTGGAAAATCCCATGGATGGAGGAGCCTGGTAGGCTACGGTCCATGGGGTCACAAACAGTCAGACATGACTGAGCAACTTCTCTCTTTCTTCTTAACCTTTCCATCTGATATGAAGAGCCAACTCACTGGAAAAGTCCCTGATGCTGGGAAAGATTTCGGGCCGAAGAGGAGGACATCAGAGGACACGATGGCTGGATGGCATCATGGATGCAATGAACATGAACTTGGGCAAATTTCAGGAGATGGTGAGGGACCTGAGAGGCCTGATGTGCTGCAGTCCAAGAGGCTGCAAAGAATCAGACACTATGGGGAGACCGAACAACAACCACCACCTTTACATTTAAGAATAACAACAACACTAAGTGTTAAATCATCTCATTTTTTCCCTAGCTTAAAAGAGACACAAATAGACAAAAATATGAGCTATGATACACTCTTCACCTTGACTTTGTGGGCCCCTATCTAGGTATGCTCCTGATTTCCTGTCTTTAATCCTCATTCACATATTTTTAAATCAAGATTTATGTATACAGTGCGAGAATATTATTAGTATTCAGTGAAAATTAGTATTCACTTGAAAAAGTCATACATAAAACAAATAAGACAAAAAATAAACTCTCTTTTACAGACTAGTATTTTCAACATTTACTGCTATGAAACTGCTTTTCCTCCACCTCACTGGTCCCTTTTCACTAAACCAGAATTGTGAGCATGGGGGAAAAACTCACTCTATCTCGGAACTTCTCTGGTTGTCCAGTGGTTAAGAATCTGCCTTGCCATGCAGGGGACACAGGTTTGATCCCTGATGGGGAACTAAGACCCCACATGCTTCAGAGCTATTGAGCCCATGCACCACAACTAGAGAGTCCTTGAACTGCAACAAAATATCCCGTGTGCCACAACCAAGACCAGACGCAGCCAAATAAACAAAAAAGTATTTTTTAAATGCTCTAAAAATCATTTTATTCCCTATAAAATACTAAAACCTTTCCAATGATGCTAAATTCTGAAACACAACTAAAATCCTCCAACATTTCTCTTACAGCCTCTAACAGTGAAGAAAACAGGTGTGTCTTTAATGCCTTATCTCGACACCATTAAATCCTTTCATCAAGCCTGGGCAAGAAGGCCAATTTAAATAAACAGTGTGGTATATTCAAAGCATTCTGACCTGAACAGAAGAAGCACTAAAAAGATGCTATATAATTGTAACATTTTGATCCCTTCTGTACTTCAAAAGTTACACTTCCAAAAAGAAAGAATAAAAAAAAAAATTTTTTAATAAATAAATATATAAAAACAAAACAAAACAACAACAATAAAGTTACACTTCCTCTGAGTTCTAGTTTTAAATTATAACTTAGCAGAAATAATCAAGATTTTTATACACGTATAATAAATCTAAACTAGGATTTTGGGTCAAACTGTATTATGATCTTACTAAACTTGCATTCTTTTCTTTAATATTGTCTTTTCTTCATTTCAAACCACGTTATTGAATAGCAAGCCTAAACAAGCCTAGTTAGCAAATCTACACAAAACAAAACAAAGTTCTACAGAACAGAGGGAGAATCATTAACTCAGAATGAAAGTTAACGCCAGAGAACTGTTAACGCAGAGGGAGCTATCTGCTCAAGGCCAGAAAGTGGATGAGTGGACGAGCTAGAGTTCAGCCTCAGCCCCACAGCACCTGCTTCAGCGTGCAGACAGCACCTTCCCCACAAATATTCAAATGGTCAGCAGAGAATCTGGGATTTCATTATTATGGCATTTCAACAAGTCTGCCAAGAATCTTTTCAGTCGAAATGTCAGTTCATGGGTATTTTTAGGCAGCAGAATTTCCAAGCCAGTGAATGGATTTTGAAGATGCCCATGGGAGCAGCTGATCACAGGTTATAAATACTATTGGAAAAGGGTCATCAGATTTCATTGTGTCTGAACTGATCACAGTGTCAAGTACTTGGGTCAACAGCTATTAATAAAGTATTTTTCTCTAAGTCAACTGACAAGGAGAGTCACCTTGTCCAAATCCCAAATGTCAATACTGGAGGCTGTATTTTCACATGCAATGAGACCCAAGAGTACATCTGGCTGGAACAAAACATTGCTTCTGGGAGAAGGCACATAAAGATTAAATTAGAACGGCCAGAAAAGACTCCACAGAAACCTACCCTTCCTCATGCAAGAGAACTGTTAATATTCCGGGCTCAGCGGTCTGTTACTTGAGTGACTGCCACAATCTGGGACTAACTTAATTGAAGCGAGGGAATGAAAACGCATTTCCTAAGAGGCCCATTTAGAAGAGACAATCAGAAAGAAGGGAGAACTGCCCGGGGAGAGAGAGGCAGTGAGAAGGGAAACTTGGCAGCTGATGAGATGATTCATTTGGCCCCAAAGAACACAGTGAGGAAAACTGCTTCAGACGAAGAAGCCCTCTCTCTCATTCTGCATGTCCCACACAACAAAGGCTTTAAAAAGCATTCTTTTTCGTGAGCCCAACAGAAAGGTTATTTGAAATGCATGACTTGGTGCAGAAGTTAAACTATCCGTTTATTCCTCACAGATTTTAAAAAGGAAGGACACAACTGAGAATCCAGATTCACTCCACCTCCTGCTGGGGCATCCTTTCCTGGGAGTTTCAGTTTCTCTCTGGTAATGTCATTTCCCTTCTCTCTCCGGTAAGATCAAAGTACATTCTTCTGGACGCCCCTGGTGGTCCAGCGGATAAGAATCCACCTGTCAGTGCAGGGGACAAAGATTCAATCCCCGGCCTGGGAAGATTCCACGCGGGACAACTACTGAGCTGCACTCTGGAGCCCAGGCTCCACAATGAGAAGCCATGGCAATAGCTAACACGCACCGCAACTAGAGAAAGGCCCTAAGCAGCCAGGAAGACGCAGCACTGCCAAAAATAAAAGTGGCAAAGAGAAAGTACATTATTTTGCCTTAAGACACCAAGTAAATATTTCCACTCCCATTCCAATGGATGAAATTAGTACTCATTAGTACTTTACTAAGATGTCTGATTTCTTCAACTGCTTGCTCTAAAAATAATTAGAATATAATCAGTAGCAGCTGTTACCGGTTATATGCAAAAATGGCATCCAGAAATATCTGGAATGGATATCTTAATAGTAAGTAAGAAAAAGAAGAGAGGAGATTCGAAGTCAAAAGCCCAGTTTTACCTCTAGATTTCACTTCTGACTACCTCATTTACCTGTCAAGCATCTTGGCTGTATCACACCTTTTCTGAGCCTTAATCTCCCCACCTATAAAATGAAGACAGTGTCAGAAGCCCTGATTTCTACAGAGCTGTGAAGCTCAGAAGACATCACTTTTGTGAAAGTTCTCTGAACTCTGCAAAGATACGCAAATGTAAGCCATCATCATGGATCCCTTTATCTCCACGGATCTTCCCTCTCTGAAAGCACATCTTACCAGCCTTCTTCAGTCAAAACATCTCCCTCTGGCTTATGTGATGTATCAAACTGTCGTAACAAAAATACACTGAATTTCAATAGGAAAACAAATCAATCCTCTATAAACCTGCCTCATTCCAAAACCGAAAATCAGAGGCAAACTACAAATTTATTGACTTTTCTTCCAGCAAATCTAAGAAGCAATGATTTATTTTTCAAGAAGCTTGTCTGAAAAATAATCTTCTTCCTACAAGCCTTATTTTCTATACATTAATTATCACAGGGAAAAAAACTTGAAGCAACTAACTATAGCTCATATTCTAAAAAATATATCTTGCCCATGATGAAAGTAGGTGTCAGTGTTTAGACTGTCGTATTCCACCCTAAAACTAAAATCATCACATTTTAAGAACAGTAAATGAGGGACTTCCTTGGTGGTCCAGTGGTTAAGACTGTGCTTCCAATGAAGGGGGCATGGGTTCAATCACTGGTCAGGAAACTAGAATCCCATATTCTGCATGGTTCAACCAAAAATTAAAAAAAAAGAAAATTTAAGTAGCAGAAAAAAAAATCTAAACTTTTTAAAAGTAACACAAACAAAAAAATCCAACATGCCATAAATTCAAGACGGTATTTTTCAATGTATGGGTCACAGAATGATCCCTGGATATTTGTTAAGAGCTAACATTCCTGTGCCTCAGCCGAGTTCTATCAAATCAGAATCACAGAAATCAGCACTGTGACAAGCAACCTGAAAATTCTGACAAACTCACTTGTTTACAAAAATAAATACATAAATAAAGAATAGGAATGGAAAAAAATGAGATTATTTAATATACAGAAAATCTTTAGAGGATCCCCCTAAAAAACCTACCAATGAGCAAACTGAGTGACATCAGAGACAATGAGAAGACTTACTTTTCAGCGAATGTAGTTTTGTACCTTTTGAAATTTGTTATTGAAATATGTTATTTTATTAATTCAGTATAAATCATTAAGGGAAATCCGAAGAAACCCTGTGATTCCAGAGGAGAAAACTGAAGCCAGAGAAGTAGCTGAGGGGCAGGAAGGAAGCTGGGACTAGAGCTCAGGAACCCAGTGGGCACCTCCAGCGCCTGCCCCACCTCCGTGCCTGGTGGAAAAGCAGAAAGGACCACCTGATCAACACCAGGGCACTACTCTCATCACCTTCAGAACAGGGGTCTCCCAGAGGTCCGGGGGACCCCTATGATACAATCCCTTTATTCCAGAGATCATTCCTGCTAACCAGGAGTGCTGTCACAGCAGTTCTAAGGCAAAGGGTCAGCGATGACAATCCTCATTATCAAGACTCATGACAAGTACCAAGAGTTAATAAAGACAGCACATCTACCAGCACATGGACAAGGCATCTCTTCTCAAGCATCAATGGAGTCAAGCTCTAACCAGGCCAGGACAATGCTGTAGGCCTTACTAACCACAAGAATGTCTGGCGAAGCAGCACAGACTTTAATACAAAGAGCATCTTGCTAAGGAACTGGCTCAGAGGAAATAAAGGAAAGCAGACCACAGGAAGTCTCAGTTTGAAAGAAGCCTTAGCAATTTCACTGTTAACTGTACTCAACATACCTAAGGGAAATATCAAGGCCCCTTCCAGGCCTCAGACCCAGGTTCAATCCCTGGGTGAAGGAGATCCCCTGGAGAAGGGAATGGCAACCCACTCCAGTATTCTTGCCTGGGAAATCCCGTAGACAGAGAAGCCTGGTGGGCTACAGTCCATGGGGTCGGAGAGAGTTGGACGTCACTGAGAAACACACCCACACACACCCCCAGTCCTCAAATCCTCTAACACGGAGAAGGAAGGCAGCTTCCACTCTTCCTCTGAGCAACTCAAGCACGCTTTCCCTCTTGGTAAGAAGAGATGTTAACTTTTTCTTTCAATGGGCACAAAGGCAGGGGAAACAGCACAGTTTCCACAGGAAAGAATAAGAGAAGCTGGAAATGAAAACTATTCCAAAGAATGTCTGAGTCTCCCTGCTTGGAAAGGAAATATGTTACAGGGGTTATTCTTGCTTTCCTAAGGTCTCTATGAAGTCTTCATATTTGGAGAAATACATGCATGATGGATGTCAGTAGGCTTTTACTATAGCTCTTGATAATGTCCAGATATACTGTAGTCTTGTATTAGTTAATCTAAGCATATTCAAGCACTGGGTAAGTCTGTTTACCAACAATTAGCTCATCTGATGAAACATCTGAAAAAGAGAGAACGCGAAAGAGGATAACAAGCCTGGTCAAGACATAACCTCCAGCCACCACTACTGGTGGTATTTCTGAAGAAAAATCATGGCCTATGGACAAACCATAGACTAGGACTTCCTTAATCAGCTCTGGGTCACCAGGTCACATCTCATGGAGCAGCCTCTCCCACCACATCTTCAATCCTGTATCAGGAACACAAAGCCAGAGAGGCTCAGGTTCCAGCACTGGCCAACCAGAGCTGTCATCTCCAGGGGAATCTACAAGACAAACGCCTAGCTCAGCCAAGGAGCTGAGAGTGTGCTGTTTCAAATTCCATCTCCAGTTTCCACTAAATACTTCACATACAGGAAAAATGTTCAGTGTATTTGCTCATAATTTTTCTACTTTGTTGAAAATAACTCTGGGGAAACGGTCTCATCACTCAAAAGAAGAAAAAAAAAAGTCACAGGAAACTTTAAAAAGTCAGATGTTATCCTTCACACTGAAAAGTACTCATACCCAAAACTCTATCCATGTATCTCATCAAAAACATCCAAAACATACAACGTGAAGCCAAAAAAAGCAAGAGACTTTCATTCCACTCCCTCTCGGCCACAACTCAGTGAACCAATGACAGAACATACGGCAGGAGAAACATTTGGTGACTCACACATTCCTCTTTGAAGTCAATTTTCAGATTAAAGAGCTGGTTTCTCTGGGAAGACAAAGAGGGACAAACTTGACAGTTATCCCTTGAAACTTCAGGTCCAAAGAATTAAAAACCATTTTGCCTCTTGGTCTCTCAAAGTCAATTCCATTTCTTTTTTCCCAAAATCATGAGTCACACACACCAAACATTTGATAGCTGGGAAATTTACTGCCTTAAATCTTTTCACTTAAGATTGACTGGATGGCCACGGCAGAGCGAGCACCACCCGAATTCATCGGATGATGCTTACTTGATCTCCCCCTTGAGCGTCCATATTTATACTTGTAAATGTCGGTTCTTCTTCCCTCGACTTAAGATACCAAAAAAAAGTGAACCAACTTCACAGAGCGCTGCTCTCACGTAAATAAAATCCGATAAACAGAAAAAACGGGTCTTGTCGGCGCCAACGCCTCTCGGACGACCAGCTTTCCAGTGGTTTCAGCTGCTGACCCAGGGCAGGGTCGGCTCGGCTCCGGACGTACACCGGGCGGTACGGGGCAGCAGGCGGGAGCGGGCCCAGGCGAAGCCGTGATTCCACCCCGCCCGCCGACCCGCATCTACGCTTCGGGCCCCGACCGAACCGCCTTGCCCGGCCCGCGCTGACTGCCCGGGGAGCCCGCCCTGGGCCGGGATGCCGCCGCCTCTACAGATGTTGGCCCCCGGAGCCACCCCGCACCCCCGGCCAAGGTCGAGCACCCCCTGACTGACGCGTTCTGACGAGGCCGGACCGACCCCGCGGGTCCCGGCGCGACTGGACACGAGCTGGACCTCGGCGTGGGGACCCCGCGCCCCCCGGCCCACCCGCCCCGCACTCCCCTCGGCGCCTGGCCCAGACCTCCACAGCCCTCTCGGGTCTCCGCCCGCCGCCATCGCTCCTAACCTGTCCCCGCGGGGGCCCGGGCGGCGGAGCGACGACTCCATCCTGCCGCCCCGATAGCGCTGACCGCGTCCACACCCGCGGCAGCGCCTGGCCAGCCTGGCGCAGCCGCCCCGCCCCGCAACCGCACCCCGCACTGTCGCCACCGCCCATTGGTCCGCGCGCCCGCCGCTCCGCGCCCATTGGCCACCGCGTGCCCGCCGTTCCGCGCCCATTGGTCCGCGCGCCCGCCGCTCCCACCACGGGTTTCTAGGGGCGGCGACGCCGCTGGAGGGTTGCTAAGGGTGGGTTGCTAAGCGCCGCTGGGTTGGAGCCGCAGTCCACACCCCAGTTGCGGCCGGGAGCCCTGGCTGCCCGCGCTCCCCTGCCGCCAGCCCCGCGGCGGTCAGTACTCAGAGACCACCCAGGGCGCTTCCTGGGGGCCGCCCTTCCGACCCCCGAGGCAGTCCCCGGAACCACACTAGCCAACCCCAGCAATCCTTCCCAACCATGAGCGGCCGCGCCCCCTATCCGCAGGACGCCTTCTGCCTGCCCTAGTCCTGCCCAGACTTTAAGGGCGTCCACGAACTTGCCCTGCACGCTTGCCTGACGGTCTTTTCCATCTCCCGCCCCTGACTGCCTGCCGGCCGTCTTCTAACCTCGTATGCCGTAATGAGATCCGCTGTCGGACCCAGTAAATCTTGTCCCCAACTTATTCGAAGTTTTACGGTCCCTACAGAACATCCTGTAAAAACTCATCGCATGTTGACTTTACGGAGTTCGATTTCGAAGCTAGTGTGGGGTCCACGTTTTAAGTTTTTCAAACGCAGAAAACTTGGCACAAGTTAAGAGAACCGAGCTCTGTGCTCGCTGGCCAGCCTCCACTCACTGTGTGACCCTGAACCCCGTTCATTATCTGTGCTTCAAATCCCCACATTGAAAATAATCCCTGCTGTCTTGCTCTGGCTGGACCTGTCACAGATTACATTCTGAAGGCTGAGGGAATGGAGTTGAATGAGAAGCTACTTGTATGGGTGGGAGGAAAAGTAAGATATTTTGTTGACTGGACAGTCTCTCTGCATTAATTACAGTAAGAAGTAGTATTTGATAAGATTACAGATTTATTTACATACATTTTAAACAGGACAAGAAATAATTTCCCCACCCTAGTTAATATTTACAGGTTATTTCAATTGGAAACAAAAAAAAATCAAAACATAGCAACTCTAAGTAACTTGATCATGTCCCCTTTATCTCCCTGGCAACCCCCCTTCACCATATGTATTACAACAGGCTTGCTGCTCTCTCTTCACCAGCCAGCAGCCCAACTAGGAAAAGCCACAGTCTGCTTCAAGTTTTTCCATGTACCGGGTCAAAAAGGAAGCAGTCACTGAGTTGGTCCTCAAACACATGGACTGAATTACTTTGAATGAGGTGATTAAAAGAATGAATAGATAGTGGTTAAAGGAAACAATTAAGAATGACCATTTATGGGGGAAGGAGGAAGCAGTATTGCTGCGTTAATGTAGGTCAGAAGCAGGGTTCTCTAAAAACTCTGCAGCCATTTATTTACAGACATTCTAAACAGTTATATTTAAAATTTGTTAAACAGTTAATACACTAAAAATATAAAGTGGACTGTTTACGATACTAAAAACTGTTTATGACACAAGATATTTTAAAAAGTGAATCTGGGAACTCAATTCCCTTTTGACTCCAGCGATCAATTTCTTGAGACCACGGATGTCTGGGAAACCGGTCAGTCTTTCACAAGGAACTGGCTTCTGCTCAGCTTTCCCCTCTCCCTGAGATACGCAAACAGGTGTCGTCGCCTCCTCCATGTGACTTTTATCCCGTACTTCTCCTCTGGGGTGTCTTTAACCAGAATAGGCCCGGGCTCTGGGCTCTTGGGCGTGCTCGTGTGAAGGGAACAGCTGGGAAGGCTGTTTTCCCTCAGTTCAGAGGGAATGGGCTCTCCCTGCCCCGGGGATCCTGGGGTCTGGATGTCCCGGGGAATGAATGCACACGGGAAGTCTGGAAGTGCATGTGCCGACAGCTCCCTGCAGCTCTGGGGGCTGAGCATGGGCACCAAGGGCCTTCCAGAAATGTCCTTTTCTGGTTGACTGGGGCCATCCTTGATTGCCGGGATCCCAGGTGTGGCTGAACTGGCAGAAGACTGTGGAGTCTCAAACGTTAGACATGGAAACCTGGAGCTGGTAGATTTTCGACTTGAACACCTTTTCTGGTCTCGATGATGATGCTTCCGGTTGCCTGGGAACCAGCTTTCTGCTGTTGTATCAAACTGAGGTGATACCTAAGGATTCCAAAAGAAAGAAATACAAGTGAAGCATGCCAACTCCCAGATACAAACCTAAGGAAACTGCATCAGATGACCAGAACCCTAAATGGGGGCCCACAACATCAATGGACTTAAAACAGCTGCCTAGGGACTTCCCTGGTGGCACAGTGAATAAGAATCTTCCTGCCAGTGCAGGGGACACAGGTTCAATCCCTAGTCTGGGAAGATCCCACATGCTGCAGGGCAACTAAATCCATGCACCAAAACTACCGAGTCCAGCTCTAGAACCCAGGAGCCACAACTACTGAAGCCTGAGCGCCTAGAGCCCATGCTCCGCAACAAGACAAGCCACAGCAGGAAGAAGTCCGTGCACTACAACAAAGAGCGGCCCTGCAGCTGCAACTAGAGAAAGCCCAAGTGTAGCGGCAGATACCCAGCATGGCCAAAAAACAACAGCTGTCTGTCCTACTGGATAACCATAGGAAGGGGTGCGCGCTTTGGGCAAGTTACTCAGCCTCCCCGGCTTCATCACACCCTACGGCTGCAACACATTTAACGTCTCCCTTTCAGCTCTGAGGGCAGGCCCAGCTGTCTTCACCACTGATGCCCAGCACCTAGCAGAGCACCTGGCACCTAGAGGACCCCAGTGTAGGACGAAAGGGCTGAAGGCAGACCAGTGAGTGAGATCAGGCGTGGAGAGCAATGAGCAAGGCCTGGCACATGGTGAGGACTTCATAACACGTCCATGTGTTCATGCCTCCTCCCACCAACAGCGCTCTAACATCTACACTTCCTCCCCACTCCTGAAGCCAGGGGTCCAGTTCTCCCCAGCACTCCTGGACCACACACATCTGTTAGGTGCTCTGGGGCAGAGCTCAAGCTTTTGTCTGAGTCTTCTGCTACATCACTTTCTGATATCCCATAGCTGTGTTCTCTTCCCAGGGCTTTTAAACTGTCAAGACAGAACACATGCCATCTCTGAGGGTTTTTCTTCACTGTTTGGTCCACTAAACAGAGGGACTTCCTCGGCAGTCCATCGGTTGGGACTCTTCAATTCCAATGCAGGAGGTGTGCATTCCATCCCTGGTCGGGGAGTTAAGATCCCACAGGCCTTGTGGCCAAAAAAACCGAAGCATAAAACAGAAAAAATGTTGTAACAAATTCAATAAAGACTTTAAAAACGGTCCACATTAAAAAAAAAAAAACAGTAAATAGAGTACTTAGCTAAAAATTCCACCTCTCACATGAAGCTCAGGGAACAATCTCATTTTTCACTCCTTCTTCCATTTATCTGGCTTTCTCACCTGGCTACCGGATACTTTTATACTGAACTCTATTAGGGGAACGTGGTGGGGGAAATACTCCAATTCTAGTCCACCCACGCCTCCTCCCGAACTTAGGCGAAAAGATACAGCAGAGAAGATGGCTGAGGATGGAGGGAAAGTGAACACTGTCTCCTTGTTCCTGCGCCCGTGAGGCTCCTAATTCTTTGGCAGCCCTGGTCACGGGGCAGAGTCCGCACCCTGAGAAGCCTGGCAGAGCAGAAGTCAAGGCAGGAACCCTACCCAGGAAGTGATGGTGTTGTGGTCCACAGGCTTGCTGGGCACCTGTCTAGTGTGGGTGACCACGGGAAACTGGGGAGATCGACAGTGGTGTTTGGGGCCCTCCAGTGGTTGTTGGTGGAATAGCAGCTGGGGTTTTTGGGCAGCTTGGCGGCGCTTTTTCCTGGGAGGCATCAACGGGTGAGAGAAGAGCAGTTAGCAACTGCATGATGCTGGCTGTCTGCAGGTCCGGGGAGAGGCTCCACTTCCAACCCATGCCTGCAGAGAAGAAACAAATGCCAACAACCTGGTGATTCCCCAGCTCCTCCTCACATTCTGCCAGCCAGTTCTGCTAGCAGCTTGCAGCCCTACCCCAAGGGGTGTGCTGGCATACCTACCCCAGCTTCCTACAGCTGCATCACACATCACTTCCCACCCAACAAACATCGCCCAGTGAAAACTTAACGGGCGCAGCCTAAGCACCATGCCAGATGCTGGGAATTCAAAGATGAATAACTACTTAATGCATCATCATTTATGGGGTGCCATTCACTTGTACAGACATGGCCCGTGCCTGTCTTCAAAGACCTGAGAGTCTAGCAGAGGGAGACAGGCATCTACAATAATGGGAGCCGTGCTCCCCTCCACTCCCCCCAGGGAGGCTCTCTGGGGACGGTCACACCTGACCTCGGTACAGAAGGGCAGGAAAAGCCGAAGAACGAGGGGCGGGGGTGGGGGGCAGCTCCAGGCTGAGGAGCAGCACACACAAGGCAGAGATGGGAAGGAGCTCGGCACACCCAGGGGCTGCAGGGAGCTGGACACAGGGCAGAAGACAACAGGCGAGAACACAGGCTCGAGGAGGTACCAGAACCAGGTCGGAAAACCCGGGGGACCACCTGCGTTTGGACTCTGGCCTAAGTAGTCAGGGCAGATTCTCAAGCGGATGGATGTCATCACACTTGGATTTCTTTTTTCAACTTCTACCCCAGCTGATTTTGAACACAGGAAAAGAAAAAAAAAGTTAATAATACGAGCTGCTATGTGCCCGTCACCCAGCTCCAAAAGCCATAAATCCACGACCAGTCACAGCCCATCCACACCCCATCCATTTCCCTACCGGTTTATCATTCTCAAAACACGACGTTCCCAGTCACGATATCATTCCTAGTAACACAACACATATAAATATTTGAAAATTATAGGTATTATACCGGCTTCCCTTGTG